GACCATCATCATCACAATGATGACCATCATCACAATCATGATCACCACCATCCCTCTCCTCCTCCTGGGTGATGATGATGATGATGACCATCATCATCACAATGGTGACCATCATCACAATGATGATCACCACCATCCCTCTCCTCCTCCTGGGTGATGATGATGCGAGCTTGATGATGATGGTCATCATCACAATGATGACTATCATCACAATGATGACCATCATCACAATGATGATGGTCATCATCACAATGATGACCATCATCATCACAATGATGACCATCATCATCACAATGATGACCATCATCACAATGATGACCATCATCATCACAATGATGACCATCATCACAATGATGACTATCATCACAATGATGACCATCATCACAATGATGATCATCATTGTGATGACCACCATCATCACAATGATCATCATCACAATGATGACCATCATCACAATGATGACCATCATCATCACAATGATGACCATCATCACAATGATGACCATCATCATCACAATGATGACCATCATCACAATGATCATCATCATCACAATGATGACCATCATCATCACAATGATGACCATCATCACAATGATCATCATCATCACAATGATGACCATCATCATCACAATGATGACCATCATCACAATGATCATCATCATCACAATGATGACCATCATCATCACAATGACCCATCATCACAATGATCATCATCATCACAATGATGACCATCATCACAATGATGACCATCATCATCACAATGATCACCACCATCCCTCTCCTCCTCCTGCTGGCTGGCGCCTTGCGCGCCTCGCAGTGACATCACCTCGCGTCGCCATGGCCACGGATTCTATTTATAGCTCTGCCCTTGTCGCACAGAGGACGGCACGGGGAGAAGGGAGAGTGTGGAGGAGAGAGAGAGAAGGCACGGGGGGGGGGGAGTTGGAGAGAGAGGAGAGAGCCAGGGTAGAGCCAGAGCCAGGGGGGAGGGAGGGAGAGTGGTTGGGTGAACGGGGAGAGTGGGGAGAGCTTTCGTGAGAGTGGCGGGGGAAGAGGGCAGTGGCTGCAATAGAAGCGAGAAGGGCTGCGTGCAGAACGAGAGAGCCCATTTCGTAAGTTGGAAACTATAGAAATGATCCCTGAAAGTAGAACGAGAGACAGAGCGAGAGAGTGAGCGAGAGAGTGAGCGAGAGGTGGGGGTTTGCATAAAGCAAAGTTATTATTAAAAAAAAAATTGACGAAATGATGAACGAAGCAAAGTGCCGACTACACCGAGCATCTTCTTGTTTCCACTGATCGTAAAAAGAGAGAGAGAGTGAGAGGTGGGGGTTTGCATAAAGCAAAGTTATTATAAAAAAAAATTACGAAATGATGAACGAAGCATTGTGCCGACTACACCGAGCATCTTCCTGTTTCCACTGATCGTAAAAAAAAGAGAAGGAAGACGATAGAAAAGGGGAGGCAGTGAGAAAAAACGAGAGTGGGGAGAGAGGAGTGGTGGTGGTGGGGGGGAGAGAAACGGGAATCAGCAAAGAGCGGAGGGAATGAGTTTGCGTCCATTAGGAATGTATCGATGTTATGGCGTTCTTCAATAATTTGGGGGGTGAGGATGGGGTTCTATTGACTGTCTGGAGCTGCAATCTCCCCCATGCGGACACACTGCACACACACGCAGTGGTGGTGGTGGTGGGTGTTGTTGTGTTGAGTGAAGGATTCACGGGGAGACGAGAGTTGATGTTGCTGGGCAGATACGCTGATGCCTCGTTATGGAACAAAGTTGTCACCCGCTTTAGCGGCCTCTAGTGGCGTGCCAGGGGTGAAGATGATTTGTAGCACTGACACACTCAACACTGACACACTCAGCACTGACACACCAACACTGACACACTCAACACTGACACACTCAGCACTGACACACCAACACTGACACACCAACACTGACACACTCAACACTGACACACCAACACTGACACACTCAACACTGACACACTCAACACTGACACACTCAACACTGACACACCAACACTGACACACTCAGCACTGACACACTAACACTGACACACTCAACACTGACACACCAACACTGACACACTCAACACTGACACACCAACACTGACACACTCAACACTGACACACTCAGCACTGACACACTCAGCACTGACACACCAACACTGACACACTCAACACTGACACACTCAACACTGACACACTCAACACTGACACACCAACACTGACACACTCAGCACTGACACACTAACACTGACACACTCAACACTGACACACCAACACTGACACACTCAACACTGACACACCAACACTGACACACTCAACACTGACACACCAACACTGACACACTCACACTGACACACCAACACTGACACACTCAACACTGACACACCAACACTGACACACTCAGCACTGACACACCAACACTGACACACTCAACACTGACACACTTAACACTGACACACTCACACTGACACACCAACACTGACACACCAACACTGACACACCAACACTGACACACTCAACACTGACACACCAACACTGACACACCAACACTGACACACTCAATACTGACACACTCAGCACTGACACACCAACACTGACACACTCAACACTGACACACCAACACTGACACACTCAATACTGACACACTCAACACTGACACACTCAACACTGACACACCAACACTGACACACTCACACTGACACACCAACACTGACACACTCAACACTGACACACCAACACTGACACACTCAACACTGACACACCAACACTGACACACCAACACTGACACACTCAGCACTGACACACTCAACACTGACACACAACACTGACACACTCAACACTGACACACCAACACTGACACACACTGACACACCAACACTGACACACTCAGCACTGATACACTCAACACTGACACACTCAACACTGACACACCAACACTGACACACTCAACACTGACACACCAACACTGACACACTCAATACTGACACACTCAGCACTGACACACCAACACTGACACACTCAACACTGACACACCAACACTGACACACTCAATACTGACACACTCAACACTGACACACCAACACTGACACACTCAACACTGACACACCAACACTGACACACCAACACTGACACACCAACACTGACACACTCAACACTGACACACCAACACTGACACACTCACACTGACACACTCAGCACTGACACACCAACACTGACACACTCAACACTGACACACTCAACACTGACACACTCACACTGACACACTCAACACTGACACACCAACACTGACACACCAACACTGACACACCAACACTGACACACTCAACACTGACACACCAACACTGACACACCAACACTGACACACTCAACACTGACACACTCAACACTGACACACTCAACACTGACACACCAACACTGACACACCAACACTGACACACTCAACACTGACACACTCACACTGACACACCAACACTGACACATTGACACACTCAACACTGACACACCAACATACTCAACACTGACACACTCAACACTGACACACCAAAACTGACACACCCAGCACTGACACACCAACACTGACACACTCACACTGACACACTCAACACTGACACACCAACACTGACACACCAACACTGACACACTCAACACTGACACACTCAACACTGACACACCCAGCACTGACACACCAACACTGACACACCAACACTGACACACTCAACACTGACACACTCAACACTGACGCATGATGGGCCCGGGCGGTTAGGGGCCGTCCATAAATGACGTCACGCGATTTTGGACGATTTTTGACCCCCCCCCCTCGTCACACGACGTCACAAAAAGTCAAACCCCCCTCAAATATGACGTCACAAAGCTCTGCCCCCCCCCCAAAACCATATTTCCATTTTAAAAATAAAACATGCTTCAAATCGCTTTAAACTACTGTCATTGCCGTGCGTATTTAGTATGGCGCTGTACTCTGATGTTGCACATTTTGATGTGACGTCACACTTCTCACCCCCCCCCCTCGTCACACGGCGTCACAAATGTCTGACCCCCCCCCCCTATGTGCGTGACGTCATTTATGGACGGCCCCTGACGAGCCCATTGGTCGTGGGTGCAAGAAGCCCCGTGAATTCAGGCAGTCGAGAGCTCACGAGACCGCGATTCGGATTCAGAATCTTAATACTGGTAGGAACCTCCTGGTTACACCAGCCCACAGGGGATTATTGTGTCCGTCGTGCAGGGAGGGGCTTGGTGGGGAGGGAGGGGCTGGGTGGGGAGGGGCTGGGTGGAGAGGGAGGGGCTGGGAGGGGAGGGTGGGGAGGGGCTGGGTGGGGAGGGAGGGGCTGGGTGGAGAGGGAGGGGCTGGGTGGAGAGGGAGGGGCTGGGAGGGGAGGGTGGGGAGGGAGGGGCTGGGTGGGGAGGGGCTGGGTGGAGAGGGAGTGGCTGGGAGGGGAGGGTGGGGAGGGGCTGGGTGGGGAGGGTGGGGAGGGTGGGGGGTGGGAGGGGTGGGGCTGGGTGGGGAGGGGCTGGTCACCCCGTGGTGCCCTTATAAAACTCAACGTTTAACCTACTCACGCCGGCTTCTGAAACCGGTAGACTACTTCTAACCCTGGCAGACGTCTGCCGATTCCGGTAGAATTCTTCTGAAACCGGTAGACTTCTTCTAAACCTGGTATAAGTCTTCTGAAACCGGTAGATGTATTCTGAACCCGGCAGAGGTCTTCTAAATCCGGTAGATAACTTATGGATCCGGTAGAAGTCTAGAAGTCTTCTGAAACCGGTAGAAATATTTTGATTCCCGGTTCAGAAGAACTGCACCGGGTACAGAATGCATCTAACCGGGTTCAGCAGATCCCACCGATTTCAGAAGACGTCTACCGCTTTCGGAAGACATCGACCTCCTCCAGAAGACTAAAACCGGTAGAATCTTCTAAAGACGGTAGACCTCTTCTGAAACCGGTAGACCTCTGCTAAAACCGGTAGCCATCTTCTTGGTGACGTATCCGGCACGTGACAGGGTGTCATGGCGGCGCCCATGCAGGCGTGACTGTCGTGGGTGAGAGGGCGATCGAGGCGACGCGGGGAGACGCCGCGATGCAGACGCAGCTGCCACGACGAGTGCCGCTCCTCATCTCCGTGCTCCCGGGCCTCGCGGGGTCATCACAGGGCCTCGTGGGAGCCCCTGGGTGCCTGGGCCCTTGCCGCCGCCTCCTCCTGCTGCCCACCGGCCTCGCCTCCTCCCGTGCAGGGGTCAGCTCCTGGGCCCGACTGCTCGCGCAGCCGCCACGGGCGGGGGCCAGCGGCGGGACCGCGACCCCTCGGGGTAAGGAGACACGGGGGGACAGGGAGACGAGGTGAGAGAGAGGGGTAGACAGGGGGAGACGGCGGGAGAGGGAAAGCACGGGGAGACAGAGGGAGACACGGGGGGTGGAGATTGGGGATACTGATGGAGGCACGGGGAGAGACGATAGAGGCGGGGAGTGAGAGAGACACGGGGAGCGAGAGAGACACGGGGAGTGAGAGAGACACGGGGAGAGAGAGACACGGGGAGTGAGAGAGACACGGGGAGAGAGAGACACGGGGAGTGAGAGAGACACGGGGAGAGAGAGACACGGGGAGAGAGAGACACGGGGAGTGAGAGAGACACGGGGAGAGAGAGACACGGGGAGAGAGAGACACGGGGAGAGAGACACGGGGAGAGAGAGAGACAGGGGGAGAGAGACACGGGGAGAGACTGGGAGTCACACGGGGAGACAGACACGAGGAGGGAGACAGACACGGGGAGAGAGACACGGGGAGACAGACACCATGAGAGAGACACGGGGAGAGAGACACGGGGAGACAGACACGGGGAGACAGACACGGGGAGACAGACACGGGGAGACAGACACGGGGAGACAGACACGAGGAGAGAGACACGAGGGGAGACGGACACGGGGAGATGGACACGGGGAGACGGACACGGGGAGACGGACACGGGGAGACGGACACGGGGAGACAGACACGGGGAGACAGACACGGGGAGACAGACACGGGGAGACAGACACGGGGAGACAGACACGGGGAGACAGACACGGGGAGACAGACACGGGGAGACAGACACGGGGAGACAGACACGGGGAGACAGACACGGGGAGACAGACACGGGGAGACAGACACGGGGAGACAGACACGGGGAGACAGACACGGGGAGACAGACACGGGGAGACAGACACGGGGAGACAGACACGGGGAGACAGACACGGGGAGACAGACACGGGGAGACAGACACGGGGAGACAGACACGGGGAGACAGACACGGGGAGACAGACACGGGGAGACAGACACGGGGAGACAGACACGGGGAGTGAGAGAGACACGGGGAGAAAGAGATACGGGCCTCGGGGAGTAGACAGCTAATGGAGCCCGGGGAGAGCCGTGTTCCCCGTCCCCCTGACCCTCACTCCGTGCCGCCGTTCTCTGTTCGCAGTGAACTGGGCCGCCCAGGCGAAGAGGCTCTACGGGCGCAAGCGACAGGCGGCGCCGCGAGTCGGTGAGTCCCGCACGCACCCAGCCGCAGCCACGAACGTGTCTCCTACACTGATGCGACTTCTAAACTAATGCAACTAAAGCGACTTCTAAACTAATGCGACTAAACAGGATAAACTGTCTAGAAGCGACTGGGTTACCGAGATCAGAGTAACGGTAATAACTGGACCACATCGATCAGTCTTTATTTTACAGATACTCGAGATTGTAGAAGATACAAATTATCCTCGTGTCTGGCATTGAAATGCAAGGGGACAGATGTTGTTACTGTGCCGACATAGTTTGGTGAGGCCATTCGATGGGATCTGGGCTCGCCAGATGGATTCGGTTTGATCTGTTTTTATTATTATTTTATTTTACCAGGTAAAGCCCCACTGAGCCAACGCAGCTCTTTTTTAGAAGCGATCTGGCCACAAGTGATAGCTCAACGAAGTGGCTTATCATCGCGTGGAAATTTATAGCAGCGAAATACTCTAAACGCGTTTTGTTGATTGTAAATGTGGAGGGAAAAACCAGAGAACCCGGAGAAAAATCCACGCAACCACGGGGAGAGAGAGAGACACGCAAGCTCCAAATGTATGATGCCGATTAATCAAGACGAGAGTAGTGGGGTTATCTCAGAATTCTCCCTTTACCCTGTCTCCCAAACCCCACCCCCTGCAGTGGCTACCAATCAGCTGGATGACTTTCCTCTGACCCCCCCCCCCCCCAGTGCCTACCAGTCAGCTGGATGACTTACCCCTGACCCCTCCCCCCCCAGTGCCTACCAGTCAGCTGGATGACTTACCCCTGACCCCCCCCCCCCAGTGCCTACCAGTCAGCTGGATGACTTACCCCTGACCCCTCCCCCCCCAGTGCCTACTAGTCAGCTGGATGACTTACCCCTGACCCCTCCCCCCCCAGTGCCTACTAGTCAGCTGGATGACTTACCCCTGACCCCCCCCCCCCCAGTGCCTACCAGTCAGCTGGATGACTTACCCCTGATTCCCCCCCCCCCAGTGCCTACCAGTCAGCTGGATGACTTACCCCTGACCCCCCCCCCCCCCGTGCCTACCAGTCAGCTGGATGACTTACCCCTGACCCCTCCCCCCCCAGTGCCTACTAGTCAGCTGGATGACTTACCTCTGACTCCCCCCCAGTGCCTACCAGTCAGCTGGATGACTTACCCTTGACCCCCCCGTCAGCTGGATGACTTACCCCTGATTCTCCCCCCCCCCCCCCCCCCGCAGTGGCTACCAGTCAGCTGGATGACTTACCCCCGACTGCCACCAAATACGGCTTTGAGGGCCTGAGTGAGCTACAGACGTGAGTGCCGCACCACTCCTCACCACCGCTCACCATCGCCCCTCACCCACGCATTCCGACCGTTCACACGCGAGTGGTGGCTGTCCCTGCAGATGCAGGAAGATACATCGAGTCTCTAGCAACCACTGTCATCACGGACCGGGGTTTCGTCCAATAGCAGAACTCCCTCGGTTGGGTGAGCGGCACTTTCCTGTTGCTGACTCTCTTTATCCTTCAGTTGATGACAAATGGCGGGTTCACTTCTCTAGGGTTCATGTAGGGTCAGGGTTTAGAGTTAGATATGAGGGTTAGAGATAAGGGTCAAGTTTTAGAGATAATTTTATGGTTAGAGATAAGGGTCAGGGTTTAGAGTTACTTATAAGGATTAGCGATAAGGGTCAGGGTTTAGAGTTACGTATTAGGATTAGTGATCAGGGTCAGGGTTGAGGGTTTAGCAGGATTAAGTGTTGGGATAAAGCTTTAGGGATAGGTTTTATGGTTAAGGATTACAGTGAAGGTTATGGTTTATGGTTAATTGCACGCACTCAGACCCCGCTGGAGGATCGGGTTTCTGTCCGCAGGGCCGACGAGTGCGTGCGGAGGCTGCTCTCGTTGGAGCTGGGGAGTCACGTGAGTCACAGTGCACTGGCAGATTTTATTTAACAACACGTGAAGGTGGTGCAGCGTCGCATGTACACTTCCTGCATCGTCCTCTTGTCTCGCGTGTGTACTGGCGTGCGTACTGGCATGTGTATTGGTGTGTGTACTGGTATATGCCGCCGTGCTATGCAGAGTGACAAGCTGAAACTCAAGAAGCAGCAGTACATCGCCCTGGTGCAGCGGAGCCCCGAGGATCGCAGCTCCACCGAGGTTCAGAGTGAGGACTCCACCTGCCGCTACATCCACCCGCACCTGGCCGAGTGGCCGTCCCACCGAGTCCACAGTCACAGCGCGCAGGGGAATCACGCAGCGGGGTCTACGATACAGCACACCGAGTCTACGATACAGTAGTCTCACAGCCCAACATCATTCACATATATGAACCAGTTCTGGGCCTCTTCTACATCAACTCAGCCTTAAACGAGCACCTGGTGCGGTGTGTAAACATCAGAACTGGGGAGACAAAAGTGCCCCTCGCTAACAGCACTTGCCCCAACAGTCTGTTTGAAGGCTACACAGCGGGGGATCTTTTGTCTTTGTTTCATCTGCAGTCGCAGTCCTAACGGCGAGGATCCGGAATTACAGCGAGCACCTGGTCCAGCACCCGAGGGTGAGTGCCAGGTTTGGTTCACCGAAGTGAGAACCCGCGAGGCCGGGAAGGGTCTGGCCACGTGCAGCCGACCTCGCCGCTCCGTCTCCTCGGTGGTCGTCCGCTCGGAAGCGTCGCCCTGGCGCCCAGGCCCGGGACGCACCGCAGGAACACACCACGCTCCACTCGTGTCTCCCAAATAGGATGAAGACTCGCCCGGCTTACTCGCTCACCCGCTCACCCACGTGTCTCCCATTTAAGATGAAACTTCAAGACTCGCCCACTTGCACGCTCGCTCACCCACTTGCGCCTCCAGAATAAGATGAAGCATTACAACTCGCCCGCTTACCTCCTTGCTCGTCCACTTGCTCGCTCACCCGCTCGCTCGCTCACCCACTCGTGTCTCTGTCTCCATGATAACATGAAGCTTCACGACTCACCAGCTCACCCACTCGCCCGCCCACCCACCCACTCGCTCGCTCACCCACTCGCTCGCTCACCCACTCGTCTCTGTCTCCATGATAACATGAAGCTTCACGACTCACCAGCTCACCCACTTGCCCGCCCACCCACCCACTCGCTCGCTCACCCACTCGCTCGCTCACCCACTCGTGTCTGTCTCGATGTTAACATGAAGCTTCACGACTCGCCAGCTCACCCACTTGCCCACCCACTCACCCGCCCACCCACTCACTCACCCGCCCACCCACTCACTCGCCCGCCCACCCACTCACTCGCCCGCCCACCGGTGTGTGCGTGCGCGTCTCCAGGACAAGACCAACAAGCGCTACATGCTCATGGCGTCCGACAGACGCAAGAAGCTTCTCAAGTACCTGCGGCGGACGCGCTACGACCGCTTCGAGCACACGTGCACGGCGCTCAACATCTCGTTCCAGCTGCCGCCGGCGTACCACCGGCGCGCCTCGCGCCGCTGGGTCGCCAAGAAAGCGCTCGTCGTGAGGGTGAGGAGGGCCGACCGCCGCGGCACTATTCACGCCGACTCATCAGGATCTTTATCGAAACCAGAATCTCGATGCGGGAGAAATCCGATGACATGAAGCTCAAATTTCGATTTAAAGCTTTCGTGACTGCAGGGATTCATCTTCTTGGTTCTTTCGGTAAAGTCACGTAGAAGGGAAGTGATAAAATAATAAAAACAAAACATAATAAAATAATTCACACGACGTTTCGGCCACAACGCAAGCAGCCGTCTTCCCTTCTACGTGACTTTACCGAAAGAACCAAGAAGACATGAAGCTCCTTTGTCATGTAAATGTCCCGTAGTTTCACTCCAACTGTCGCCACCTGTACGGGGATAGAGCGTTGCCCCCCCCCCCACCCCCGCACGTGCTGTGGGTTCTCTCCGGCTGCACCCGGTTTCCTCCAACGTGCGTAATAAACGCTCGTCAATTGACTGAGAACATCTGAACGCGTAGAGGACCGCAGAGCGGGAGCGATTGTTGGTGCCAGCTGACCACCCGGCTTGCTGCCTTCCAGCTCGACTCGTTGCGTGTACGGACTCTGCGACGCTTGCCAGTTGCTCAGAGCGACGCGACTTCACTCAAAAGAATTTATTAGTTTCGGATCTTTACAATTAGCGCAGTTGGCTACGTACGGCGCGAAAGAAATTCAACACATATATATGCAATGGACAGGGCCGATCTGTTCACGCTTTCAGAGTGAATTTAATTGAACCGATGTGCCCTCGCACACGTGTCGTCGCCCTCACACGCGTGTTGCCGACGTGTCGTCGCCCTCACACGTGTGTTGCCGACGTGTCGTCACCCTCACACGCGTGTTGCCGACATGTCACCCTCACACACGTACGTACGAGGGTGACGACACACGTGTCGACGAACGCAACGCCTGCCGTTTCACGACTCGCGTGATTCCCCCCCCTACCCCCCGCAGGTTCGTCAGCTTGTTAACGAGCGGCGCTACCGGGCCCGCCAGGAGGCCCGCGCACAGGCGGCACAGGCGGCGCAGGCGGCGCAGGCGGAGCAGGCGGCTCCCCCGTGTGAAGGGAGCGGCTGAGAGCTCGGCTGCCGGTGCTCACACGTCCCGGTGTCCCCACTCTCGTCTCACGCGCTCCCCTCTCGTCGCGTCTGTCCTTAAGAGACCCAGAGACCCACAGACTCAGAGACCCACAGACTCACGTAGAGACCCACAGACTCACGTAGAGACCCACAGACTCACGTAGAGACCCACAGACTCACACAGAGACCCACAGACTCACACAGAGACCCACAGACTCACGTAGAGACCCACAGACTCACACAGAGACCCACAGACTCACACAGAGACCGACAGACTCACACAGAGACCCACAGACTCGCGCAGAGACCCACAGACTCACGTAGACACCCAGACTCACGTAGAGACCCACAGACTCGCGTAGAGACCCACAGACTCACGTAGAGACTCCCTCCCCCGTCTGTGTGCGTCTCGTCTCCCGTGGCGTCTCGTCTCCCGGGGCGTCTCGTCTCTCGCGGCTTGTCCCGTGGCATTGCGCAATAAAATAATTGCTCGATTCTTCCCGTTCGACTCGAGTGGCTATGTCGCGCCCTGCTGCTGCTGCTGCTGCAGGGATGTCCGGCGTTGGAGTTCCAAGTTCCAAGTCCCCGGAACGCTTGGGGGGGGGGGGGGGGGTGGCGGGGGTTGGCGGCAGCCTTCAGCCAGCAGTGGATTGACCGTGGCCGATGATGATGGCACCGGGGAATGTGCATTTGTCAGTTGGCGATCGTCACAGGCAGTGCGGGTTTACCGTGAGCAACCATCGCAAGTCGGTGCCTGTGGAGAGCAGGTGTGGCCACTGTGGGCGGGGGTGGTTGTGGCGAGCGATGAGTGAGCTGGAGAGAGCGTGCAGCTTCGAGAGAGAGGCTCACTGACACCGTGACACGAGAGGGAGCTGTGGGCAAGAGACAGATGAGAGAGATCGGAGATGAACAAGCGATGATGTCCGAAGGTGAGAGATGCACGAGAGAGGAGAGCTGTGGGCAAGAGATCGGAGACTCGCGGGATGGAGACGCGCAGTGGATGTTAGCGAGTTGAGAGGAGGCGCAAGCGACAGTCGCGTGCGCTCGTGTGTTGCGGCAGTCGTGACGCCAAATCCGTTTCGCGCCCATCGGGAACCGGAGTTGACGAACCCCAGCAGTGTCGCCGCAACCTCGAGGTCATCGCCACGCAAAGCGCGAGGCCGACCCGGTGACCCTGTGACCCCGGTGACCCCGTCGACTCCCGGCACGATCAGAGCTGCACGACGCGCTTGAGCTGCGAGCGCCCGGCCTGCACCGTGGCCATCGCCTCCACCGCCTGCCCCAGGCCCTCCGCACCGTGCACCAGCGGCCTGCCGCACGGAGACGGAGCGAGCGTGGTTACAGCGTGGTGTGCGTGGTGACTGTGTGGTGTGGGTTACATGGTGTGTGTGTGTGTGGTTACACTTTGTGGTGTGCGTGGTGACTGTGTGGTGTGGGTTACGTGGTGTGTGTGTGGTTACACTTTGTGGTGTGCGTGGAGGCACACTGATGTGGTGACTGACACTCGTGCCCTATCAGCCAGGGGGTGAAGCACACCCGATTGTGCACGTGGTCAAACTGCCCGGGACCCATAGGCCAGAGGGGCCGGGGCTCTGGGCTAGGGCCCCATTTCATTCCATGGACCAGAGCCCATGGCAACCATGCGGTGACACGGACACCCAGAGACCCGCAGACCCGCATAGAGACCAGTAGGCTCACAAAGTGGCCTGTAGGCTCACACTGAGACCCGTAGGCTCACAGTTGGGGTTAGTGTCGTGCGCCGTGCGGGTCACCTGAACACGCCAGCCGAGAGCTTCTCCATGACGTCGCGCAAGACGTCTGAGCCGGCGTGTTAAGGATGCTTCCGCTGCCCCTGCGTGCACGGGGGGGGGGGGGCACTGCCGCCTGTGCCCGGCTCTTGTCACGCCTCGGAAGCTAAGCAGGGCTTAGCCCGCCGGGTCCGGTGGGCTGCTTCTGTGGGGGGCTACGTTGTCAGCAGAGGGCAGTGCAGCTGAATCCGTGGTTGTATTCTCCCCACCACCAACCCGACTGGCCAGCACGGTGAAGTATGGTCATTTAGCGGCCCCTATAACCCCTGCACGGCGTGGGGGAGCAGGCCCACGTTCAGCGGCACACGGCAGGGCGAGCGGCCCCGTGCTGCGGGCGTGGTGGTGCGGTGCTGTGGGTGTGGTGCGGTGGTGCGGTGCTGTGGCCCCGGTGCTGCGGTGGCGGTGTATTTGCCGCGTGAAGGATACGCAGGTGCCGGCCCCGGCGAGTGGGGGAGAGGCTCCACAGCTCCTCGTTGAGGAAGCGCACGCTGGCGCCCTTCAGCTGCAGCAGGGCGCAGTCGGGGGGGTCCAGCTGCCGAGAGAGAGAGAGAGCGCCTTGCGTGACGGGCGCGGGGACACGCGAGGAGCCACAAGCGAGGGGACACGCGGCCCCACGCGGCCCCACGCGTACTCCCCCCCCCCCCCCACCACGCGCTTATAAACGGCGGCCTGCAAACGTCGCGCGTCCGAGCCACGCTAATTGAGGAGGCTCCACTGCGGTCCATGAGGGCGGAGGAGCGGCTTTACCTGCAGCTGCTCGTGGGTGGTGACCCACTGGCCGGCGACGGCGAGGGCGCTGATCAGCTCGTGCTTGCGCGGCGAGCCGGACGCGGGCGGAGCCCCCCCGGTGCTGCTCCCTCGCGCTGGCGCCGGGGGCGTTAGCAGCGAGAAACAAACACAATTGGGGGCAGCGTGGATAGTGCAGCGTGGATAGTACAGCGTGGAATGTGCAGTGAGTCGTCGAGAGCAACGCCCCTCTCCACCGTAGGATGCTTTGTGTCGATCATCTCTACGAGAGTGACCGTGACCCCGCGCCGCACGCGCACGGACGGACGCTCGGTGCAGACACGATAACGAGGGGCGCCACGGTGGCCATGAGATGTTGAATACCTCGCCTGGTATGCAGGAAGTCGTGGGTTCGATCCCGACCCTGACGCCTGCTGCTGTATATTTGGAGTCTGCGTCTCTCTCTCCATGGTCACTTGCATTTTTCTCCGGCTCTTCCGGGTTTTTCCCTTCACATTTAGACTCAACGAGCACTTAGATTGTTTGGCTGCTATACATTCCCACGTGATGAGCCACTTCGTTCCATCTATCATTTGTGGCCAGGTCGCTGATGAAAAAGCTGCAGATCTCGGTGGGCTTTACATGTGTCATGACACTAGAGCCTGCATGCGGTGTGAGTGGACTAGTGGCCACGGGAGGTAATGACAGAGGAGTCAGCCTGCAGTGCGAGTGAACTAATGGCCACGGGAGGTAATGACAGAGGAGTCAGCCTGCAGTGTGAGTGGACTGGTGGCCACGGGAGGTAATGACAGGGGTATCAGCTGTGAGTACGAAGGGACTGGTGGCTACGGGAGGTAATGACAGGGGTATCAGCTGTGAGTACGAAGGGACTGGTGGCTACGGGAATGATCGAGAAGGGAGCGTGGTCAGGTGACGGAAGAGGACGGTGGAGTCTGCCGGTGGAGCGAGCGTCCAGAGTCAGCGAGAAGGTTCGAGAAGGGGGGCGTGGCCTCGGTCGGTATAAAAGGGGGAGATGCGCGGGAGACTCGGGGCTGTTGCAGTGGGGGCGTACGCCTGATGTCAAGTGAACGCGTCTTCAATAAAGTGCCATCTCAAGAGAAGTGTGTCAAGTCGTCGTCACACGAGTCGTCGTTACACAAGTCGTCGTCACGTGAGTCGTCCTTACCTCCAGCGTCCACCACGAGGTCGACTCCGAGCCCCCCCGTCTCCTCCAGGCAGCTCGCCACGAGGTCGCAGCCTCGCTCGCCCAGCTCCACCACGCGCGCTGCACACACGGCAACGCCAGCGCATCCCTCTGTGTGTATGCCGCTTTGTGTGTGCGTGTACACCAAGTGTGTGTGTACAGGGTGTGTGTGTACAGGGTGTGTGTACACCAGGTGTGTGTGTGTGTACAGGGTGTGTGTGTGTGCGTGTACCCCAGGTGTGTGTGTGTGCATCAGGCGTGTGTGTGTGTGTATAAAGGGGCGTGTGCTGTATGTACACCTGTGTGTGTGTACACAGGAGTGGTGTGTGTGCTGTGTGTACACAGGCGTGGTGTGTGTGCTGTGTGTACACAGGCGTGGTGTGTGTGCTGTGTGTACACAGGCGTGCTGTGTGTGCTGTGTGTGCTGTGTGTACACAGGCGTGCTGTGTGTGTGCTGTGTGTACACAGGCGTGCTGTGTGTGCTGTGTGTGCTGTGTGTACACAGGCGTGGTGTGTGTGCTGTGTGTACACAGGCGTGCTGTGTGTGCTGTGTGTACACAGGCGTGCTGTGTGTGCTGTGTGTACACAGGCGTGCTGTGTGTGCTGTGTGTGCTGTGTGTGTGCTGTGTGTACACAGGCGTGGTGTGTGTGCTGTGTGTACACAGGCGTGCTGTGTGTGCTGTGTGTGCTGTGTGTACACAGGCGTGCTGTGTGTGCTGTGTGTGCTGTGTGTGTGCTGTGTGTAACAGGCGTGGTGTCTGTGCTATGTGTACACAGTCGTGGTGTGTGTGCTGTGTAACAGGCGTGCTGTGTGTGCTGTGTGTGCTGTGTGTGCTGTGTGTATACAGGTGTGGTGTGTGTGCTGTGTGTACACAGGCGTGGTGTGTGTGCTGTGTGTGCTGTGTGTGTGCTGTGTGTACACAGGCGTGGTGTGTGTGCTGTGTGTGCTGTGTGTGTGCTGTGTGTAACAGGCGTGGTGTCTGCTGCGCTGTGTCCGCTGGGCCCGTGCCCCCTCACCAGATTGTGGCCGCAGTTGCTCCAGGGCCTCCCTGTCCGCCCCGGGGCCCACGGCCGCCACCACCCTTGCCCCACGGTGCCGAGCCAACTGGCAGATCGCCACGCCCACCGACTGCACACCGGCAACAACACAGAGCAGCAGGCTGCTGCTGCTGCTGGTGGTGCCGGTGGTGCTGCTGGTGGTGCTGCTGGTGGTGCTGCTGGTGGTGCTGCTGGTGGTGGTGGTGCTGCTGGTGCTGCTGGTGGTGCTGCTGCTGGTGCTGGTGGTGGTGCTGGTGGTGCTGCTGGTGGTGGTGGTAGTGCTGCTGGTGGTGCTGCTGGTGGTGCTGGTGGTAGTGCTGGTGGTGCTGGTGGTGCTGGTGGTGCTGGTGGTGGTGCTGGTGGTGCTGGTGGTGGTGCTGGTGGTGCTGGATGTGCTGCTGCTGCCAGGAAAGGTACCGGGCAGAGATGATCTCCCAAGCGAAATGCTGAGGGAGGGTGGCGTTTGTGCACAGACTGCCCTATATGACATCATAACAACAGTCTGGACCGCTGGACGGGTACCGCAGGATTGGAAGGATGCCCTGGTGGTTCCCCTCTTTAAGAAGGGGGACCGCACAGACTGTAACAACTACAGGGGCATCTCACTCCTCAGTGTGCCGGGAAAGATCCTGGCAAGGATTATTCAACATCGCCTTGCTAGGCACACTGAGGAGAGGCTTGCGGAACCCGAATGCGGTTTCAGGAAAGGGCGGCCCTGCACAGATGCCATATTTTCTGTCCGTCTGCTACAGCAGAGGTGTAGGGAATTCCAATAAGACCTACATCTCTGCTTTATTGACCTGGTCAAGGCCTATGATACCATCAGTAGGCCTGGGCTCTGGGTTGTTCTTCGTGCTTTCGGAGTCCCTGACCCTCTGCTCACGATCATTAAGGACCTTCATGATGGTGAATGGGCCCGGGTAAAACTACATGGCCGGGAGTCAGAGCCATTCCCTGTACACCTTGGGGTGCGACAGGGATGTCCTCTGGCTCCCACATTATTTTACATCTATTTCGACTGCTAGTTCGTGAAGCCTTCAATAGCTGTACCGGGGGAATTTCCATTTGGTACAGATATAATGGGAGGCTGATCGACGCCCGGGTGCGATCAAGGGATGGCTCCCTATTGGTCAACCACGTTATGTATGCCGATGATTTGGTAATAGCTGCTCATTCAGAAGAGGAGTTGGAGATGCTGCTGCTGAGACTGGAGCGTGCCACTAAGAGGTGGGGCCTTACCATCAGCCCCACCAAAACTAAGCACCTGCCTGGGTATTTTGTACCATTGGACACTCCACCCCCACAACTCCCAATCGGTGATGGGGAAGTTGTGGAGAGAGTGGAGAGTTTCCCATACCTGGGCAGTGTGCTTATGACCGGCTCCAGTTTATCAGCAGAGGTCTCACTCCGAATCAGTCGAGCGGCAATATCTTTTCATCGGTTGCGTAACGCTGTGTGGAAGCTACCTGGTCTGTCGCTCCGCACGAAGCTTCAGGTCTTCTCGGCCACGGTCATTCCCTCCCTTCTCTACGCTTGCGAAACGTGGACCCCCCTAATGGAGCATCTTCGCCGGTTGGAAACATTTAGGCTGGCCTGCCTACGATCCATCCTGGGTTTAACCAGGCTGGATTGTGTGAGGAGCTCACAAATCCTTGAAAGATCTTGGCAAAGTCCCATCGGTGAGCTCCTCCGGCAGGCAAGGCTGCGTTGGCTGGGTCATGTAGCCCGCATGCCCAGCCACCGCATGCCCAAACAGCTTTTGTTCGGCCGGATCGAGGGGGCTAAACGGGCGCGGCACGGGCTGGAGAAGAGATGGAGTGATGTGGTACAGGAGGACGTGGAGCTGAGTGGACTTGCCGATGACTGGTACCAGCGGTGTCAAGATCGGCCTCAGTGGAGGAGGCTCGTGAAGGACGCTACTGGGCAGTTGGAGGCAGTCGCCCTCCAACAACAACGGAAGGCGGAGGAGCGACGCTCACAACAACGAGCGGAGCGCCGGGTGGCTAAAGCACAGCAAGTTGGTACAGTAGGGGGCACAGGTGGTGCATCAGCCAGTCATCTCGGTCATCTCGGTCAGTCGACCCGTGGCACCTGGGTCTGCCCCGTGACCTTCTGTCAGCGGGCGTTCGACACTTCACGTGGCCTCAAGGTGCACTTGGCCTGGCACAAGCGTCGTGGTGACGTCACCGCCACTTAGTGGCGAATGGCGGTTGTTGTTGTGTGCATGTGTGCGTGCGTGTGTGCGTGTGTGTGCGCGTGTGTGCGTGTGCGTGCGTGTGTGCGTGTGTGTGCGCGTGCGTGTGTGCGTGTGCGCGTGTGTGTGTGTGCGTGCGTGTGTGCGTGCGTGTGCGCGTGCGAGGCTCTCACGGTCGCCGCGTCCGTCACGAGCACGGCCGCTCCGGCTGCGGCGAGGCCTTGCAGCGCCGCCGTGGCCACCATGCCGTCACGCACGCACGCAGCCGCCTGCACGCAGCCCACGCCGCTCGGCCTCAACACTGGGGGGCGGGGGGGGGGAGGGCGTCACTGCGGAGTCGATGCGCCGTTTCGTGAAGGCGCAGCCCCGCAATCGTTTGCTGGCGCCGCCCGCTGGCGACAAGGGAATTCCACCAGGTGAGGCCCAATGAGCTATGTAGCTCTTCTTTCAGAAGCGACCTGGCCACAAGTGACAGCTCAACGAAGCGGCTCATCATCACGTGGAAATGTACAGCAGCCAAATACTCGTGTAACTCGTGATGTTGCTTTTAAATGTGAGGGGAGAAAAACCGGAGGACCCGGAGAAAAATCCACGCGACCACGGGGAGAGAGACACGCAAACTCCAAATATACAGCAGCAGGCGTCAGGGTCGGGATCGAACCCACGACCTCCTGCAGACCAGGCGAGGTAGTTAACATCTCCTAGCCACTGTGATGATGATGAGAGAGAGACACGCAAACTCCAAATATACAGCAGCCGGCGTCAGGGTTGGTATCGAACCCACGACCTCCAGACCAGGCGAGGTAGTTAACATCTCCTAGCCACCGTGATGATGATGAGAGAGAGACGCAAACTCCAAATATACAGCAGCAGGCGTCAGGGTTGGTATCGAACCCACGACCTCCTGTAGACCAGGCGAGGTAGTTAACATCTCATAGCCACCGTGATGATGATGAGAGAGAAACACGCAACTACAAATATACAGCAGCAGCAGGCGTCAGGGTCGGTATCGAACCCACGACCTCCTGTGTACCAGGCGAGGTAGTTAACATCTCCTAGCCACTGTGATGATGATGAGAGAGAGACAACGCAAACTCCAAATATACAACAGCATTCGTCAGGGTTGGTATCGAACCCACGACCTCCTGTACACCAGGCGAGGTAGTTAACATCTCACAGCCACCGTGATGATGAGAGAGAGACACGCAAACTCCAAATATACAGCAGCAGCAGGCGTCAGGGTTGGTATTGAACCCACGACCTCCTGCATACCAGGCGAGCTAGTTAACATCTCCTAGCCACTGTGATGATGATGAGAGAGAGACACGCAAACTCCAAATATACAGCAGCAGCAGGCGTCAGGGTTGGTATCGAACCCACGACCTCCTGCGTACCAGGCGAGGTTGTTAACATTCTCACCCAGGCAGTGCTCGTGCACGGTGACGCGGGGAGACAGGCCGGACTCCGCGCTTTCAAGCGGCAGGATTCCTGTAACGGCAGTGACGTCAGCGCGCGTGCGCTTCCGAGCCAAGTGAGGTGCGAGAGTGCGCACGCGCTCTGCACTGCGGCAGTGTAGCGGGTAGCGTACCGCACGATAAACCCGACGGCCCAGAGTTCGATTTCCGTTCATGGGCAACATCGGTGGCAAATACCTGAACTGATCCTCGCGTCCCATTATTCGACTTAAATGAGGCCTTGGTGCGGTGTATAAACACCAGTACTGGGAAGACAAAGTGGGGCCACGCATGGTGCTGTATTGTGTGTGTGCGTGTGAGTACGTGAGTGTGCGAGCACGTGTGCAAGTGAGTATGCGAGCGAGTGTGCAAGTGTGTGTGTTTGTGCGAGTATGCGAATGCGCGTGTGTGAGTGAGCGAGTGTGTGTACGAGCGTGTGAACAAGCGAGTGTGTGTGAGCGAGTGTGTGTGTGTGAGCGAGTGTGTGTGTGTGAGCGTATTTGAGCATGTGAGCGAGCGAGTGTGTGCCAGCATGTGTACGAGCGAGTGTGTGTGTGAGCGTATTTGAGTATGTGAGCGAGCGAGTGTGTATGAGCGAGTGTGTGTGTGTGTGTGAGTGAGCGAGTGTGTGTGTATGAGCGAGTGTGTGTGAGTGTGAGCGTGTGAGTGAGCGAGCGCGCGAGAGGTATCGAGCCAGGGACTCCTTACCCACGACTTCATCGCCGGGCTTGAAGAACGTCACCAGCGCTCCGACTGTAAACACAACCACGACAACGAGCACAACGTGCGGCGTCACCACGCGAACAATCCCCGCGAACCCCCCACCGCCACCGCCCACCACGCTGGGACTGCCAACGCAGCAATCACAATCGGTGAACCAGAATTAGTCGACTGGGATCAGTCTTCTTATCGGCATGGCAGATGTCGTTGAAGTGGCTGATGAGCCAGATAATTGCGCGCGGAGTAGCGGAGTGGTGCCCCATCGCTGCGATGCTGCCTCCTCCTTCATATTCGTCAGTTTTTAACTTCCAATTTACGCATCAAAGAATTCCGCGTCCGCCACTGGCACGGTTTGGAGTGGCACAGTGACGGCAAAAGCCTCACGCGGCCCTCCCTGTCGAGCGAGAAATCACGACCGACCGAGGCCAGCGACAACCCGGCGACGGGACACCGATCGGCGATCTCCCCGCAATCAGCGAACCGGGATCAGGGGAGCGGTGAGCCGCGATCGGTAATCATCGAACCGCGACCGGTGAGCTGCGATGCGTGAGCTGCGATCCACACCGGCGGCCACCGTCCCCGCCACCTCCCGCCCCACGGGCTGCGGGGACTGCTGCATCTTGAGTCGCGCAAGGAGCTGCAGGAGACAGCGGAGACAGCGGGGACAGCGGGGACAGCGGAGACAGCGGGGACAGCGGGGACAGCGGAGACAGCGGGGACAGCGGAGACAGCGGGGACAGCGGGGACAGCGGGGACAGCGGGGACAGCGGAGACAGCGGGGACAGCGGAGACAGCGGAGACAGCGGGGACAGCGGGGACAGCGGAGACAGCGGGGACAGCGGAGACAGCGGGGACAGCGGGGACAGCGGGGACAGCGGGGACAGCGGAGACAGCGGGGACAGCGGAGACAGCGGGGACAGCGGGGACAGCGGAGACAGCGGGGACAGCGGAGACAGCGGGGACAGCGGAGACAGCGGGGACAGCGGGGACAGCGGGGACAGCGGGGACAGCGGGGACAGCGGAGACAGCGGGGACAGCGGAGACAGCGGGGACAGCGGAGACAGCGGAGACAGCGGGGACAGCGGAGACAGCGGGGACAGCGGAGACAGCGGGGACAGCGGAGACAGCGGAGACAGCGGGGACAGCGGAGACAGCGGAGACAGCGGAGACAGCGGGGACAGCGGAGACAGCGGGGACAGCGGGGACAGCGGGGAAGCGGGGACAGCGGGGACAGCGGGGACAGCGGGGACAGCGGAGACAGCGGAGACAGCGGAGACAGCGGGGACAGCGGAGACAGCGGGGACAGTGGGGACAGCGTCAGGCTCGGCATTGCCTGATGCGATGGAGGATGGGGTTGGCACATCACAGGAGGATGTTGAACTTCTTTTGCACTCTACTGAGCCAACCGGGCTCAAAGGAGGTGCGGGGGAAGGACAACAAACCAAACACAAAGTACTTCTCAAGAAATTAGTTTTCAATCAAGATGATTAAAAAGTGCATATATCCCGTGGCTTCTTAATATCGGAAGAGCGTTCCAGACGGCCACAGAAGCGCATCTGAAACCGCGCGATGCGGTGACCACCGTCAATCGGTATTGCGTGATGCGATGCGGTGACCACCGTCAGGCTCGGCATTGCATGATGCGATGCATTGACCACCGTCAATCGGCATTGCGTGATGCGATGCAGTGACCACCGTCAATCGGCATTGCGTGATGCGATGCGGTGACCACCGTCAATCGGTATTGCGTGATGCGATGCATTGACCACCGTCAATCGGTATTGCCTGATGCGATGCATTGACCACCGTCAATCGGTATTGCGTGATGCGATGCGGTGACCACCGTCAATCGGCATTGCGTGATGCGATGCATTGACCACCGTCAATCGGCATTGCGTGATGCGATGCATTGACCACCGTCAATCGGTATTGCCTGATGCGATGCATTGACCACCGTCAATCGGCATTGCGTGATGCGATGCATTGACCACCGTCAATCGGCATTGCGTGATGCGATGCAGTGACCACCGTCAATCGGCATTGCGTGATGCGATGCGGTGACCACCGTCAATCGGCATTGCCTGATGCGATGCGGTGACCACCGTCAATCGGCATTGCCTGATGCGATGCGGTGACCACCGTCAATCGGCATTGCCTGATGCGATGTGGTGACCACCGTCAATCGGCATTGCGTGATGCGATGCGGTGACCACCGTCAATCGGCATTGCCTGATGCGATGCGGTGACCACCGTCAATCGGCATTGCGTGATGCGATGCGGTGACCACCGTCAATCGGCATTGCGTGATGCGATGGAGGATGGGGTTGGCACCTCCGAGGCACAAAAAACTGGGACACGTCACAGGAGGATGTACAGTATGTTGAACTTCTTTTGCACTGTACTTAGCCAACCGGGCTCATCGGAAGTGTGGGGGAAGGACAACAAACTAAACACAAAACGTAAAACTGTAATAGCAATCACGTTCTAAAATTAAATCCGCACTAGAACTTGAGTGATTTGAAGAGGGTCGGTTTAAATGAGAGAGACGGCAGAGCCGAGATGCCTGGAGACGAAACTGGGTGGTGGTTCCAAGACTTTGGGGCAGCAGCTACGTTCAGTGCTTTTGATGCACGTTGTGTGCGAACTCTGGGAACTCTTTTTCACAGGCGTGATTTATTGTCATTAAAGAACCCAGACTACGGTGGGAATTTCAAAAGAAGGGAACAATTCTGGGAACTAATAACATTCAGACGCGCATCACAGATGTTTTTGGGGGATTGTCCCATGGTAGGAACAACGACAGGCTGGACAATTAGAGAGCAGGTCTACGGGCAGCAGCAGTAGCAGCAGCAGTAGCAGCAGCAGTAGCAGCAGCAGCGGCGGCAGCAGCGGCAGTAGCAGCGGCAGCAGCAGCAGCGGCAGCATCGGCAGCAGCAGCGGCAGCAGCAGCAGTAGCAGCAGCAGCAGTGGCAGCAGCAGTAGCAGCAGCGGCAGCAGCAGCAGCAGCGGCAGCAGCAGCAGTAGCAGCAGCAGTAGCAGCAGCAGTAGCAGCAGTAGCAGCAGCAGCGGCAGCAGCGGCAGCAGCCGTGTCGATGACGATCGCCCCGAAGTGAAAACGCCTTCTCATGTCCAAGGACGACGGCCCCAGCGATGGTCTCACCGCGCACGGCACGGGGCTGAGGCCGCACGCCTTCACGGCGACCACCACCGCGTGGGTGTCCACCTCTCGCGATCCGGGGGTCGACTTTCCCACCACCTCCTCCACCTCCTCCTCCGCCTGCTCCTTGCCGTGCAGGAAGAACTGCGGTCGATCGCCCGTGGCGTCCATGAAGAGGCCCCTCATGACGGGAGCCGTAGACGGGAGGAAGGAAGAAGGGCGGCCGACAGCCCCGTCCGGAGAGAGGAGGAGATGAAGACGACGACTTCTGGTGGAACGTGGGGGGAAGGGATGAGACGCGCCATGGGTGCGTAAGTCGACAAAGATCCCCCGTATCGCCTACAACAGACTTGGGCCACCGAGGTGGCTAGGAGATGTTAACTTCCTCGCCTGGTATGCAGGAGGTCGTGGGTTCCATCCCTAACCCTGACGCCTGCTGCTGTATATTTGGAGTCTGCGTCTCTCTCTCCATGGTCACTTGTATTTTTCTGCGGCTCCTCCGGGTTTTTCCTTCACATTTAGAATCAACGAGCACTTAGATTGTTTGGCTTATACTGGTAGGAACGAAGTGGACCAGACCACCAATAGATTAATGTGTCCGTCCGTCCGTCCGACTGTCCGTCCGTCCGTGTATCAACATCGCCCCCTACTGCAAACACTTGGCATGACCCTGTCCGACAAGATGGCCGCCCGCTCCCCCTGCGATCTGTGAATTAAACAAGATGGCCGTCGCTTCCGGTGCATCACGGCAAAACTTTAAACTTCGCTTCAAAATGACTTTACTGAAACGCAGCACGTTTATTTAAACAATTACTTTACTGAAACGCAGCACGTTTTTTTTAACACAGAGACAAGAAACATTTATTAACACAGAGACGAGATACATTTAATCGCCTTATTTGTGCACGAAAAGCACGGCGCGAGGCCTAGTGCGGCAGGCTTCGCGAGGCCTAGTGCGGCAGGCTTCGCGAGGCCTAGTGCAGAAGGTGGTGGTGGGGGGTGGTGGGGTGGTGGTGGTGGGGGGTGGTGGTGGGAGGGCTGGTGTTGAGGGTGGTGTTGGGGGGTCTTTAAATCTCACAGCGTTTCTTGTCAAAACAAACACTTTTAATTAAAGTTACACTAGAATACAGTAATTTTTTCTTTAACTCCTCTATACCCGGTCGATATCCCTGTACCGGTACTAAGTATTATTCCTACCAGCCCACCCCGCAGGGTCCTGTTATACATTCCCACGTGATAAGCCACTTCATTCCAGCTATCATTTGTCGCCAGGTCGCTGATGAAGAAGAGCTGCATAGCTCGGTGGGCTTTACATGTGCGAGTGGACTAGTGGCCACGGGAGGTAATGACATGGGGAGTCAGGATGCAGTGCGAGTGGACTAGTGGCCACGGGAGGTAATGACAGGGGGAGTCAGCCTGCAGTGCGAATGGACTGGTGGCCACGGGAGGTAATGACAGGGGAGTCAACCTGCAGTGCGAGTGGACTGGTGGCCACGGGAGGTAATGACAGGGGAGTCAGCCTGCAGTGCGAGTGGACTAGTGGCCACGGGAGGTAATGACAGGGGAGTCAGCCTGCAGTGTGAGTGGACTAGTGGTCACGGGAGGTAGTGACAGGGGAGTCAGCCTGCAGTGCGAGTGGACTAGTGGCCACGGGAGGTAATGACAGGGGAGTCAGCCTGCAGTGTGAGTGGACTAGTGGCCACGGGAGGTAGTGACAGGGGAGTCAGCCTGCAGTGCGAGTGGACTGGTGGCCACGGGATTTAATGACGGGGGAGTCAGCCTGCAGTGCGAGTGGACTGGTGGCCACGGGAGGTAATGACAGGGGAGTCAGCATGCAGTGCGAGTGGACTGGTGGCCACGGGAGGTAATGACAGGGGAGTCAGCCTGCAGTGCGAGTGGACTAGTGGCCACGGGAGGTAATGACAGGGGGAGTCAGCCTGCAGTGCGAATGGACTGGTGGCCACGGGAGGCAATGACAGGGGTATCAGCTGTGAGTACGAAGGGACTGGTGGCTACGGGAGTGATCGAGAAGGGAGCGTGGTCAGGTGACAGAAGAGGACAGGAGAGTCTGCCGGTTGGTACGTTCTGTCTCAGAAGCCAGGCCGCTTCTGAAAAAGTTATATAACTCAGTGGGCCTTACCTGGTAAAATAAAAAAGTGGTTAATAATCGGTAAGTGTTGTTAGCGAGTAAGACCTATGAATGATGGCATGGCACACGAGGGAGTGGGTGGCAAGCACCACGCCCGGCCGCTTTTGTTTCCCTAGTTCTGATGTTTACACACCGCACCAGGTGCTCGTTTAAAGCTGAGTTGACCTAGAGGAGACCCAGCACCGGTCCACTGAATTCGTCACCGATGTGACCGAGAGCGGGAAACGAACTGTAGTCACCAGGTTCGTAGCGCAGCGCTGCAAACACACGCACACACTACCACCACCATACACTACTCATCACCATGAGCCATGATCCATCCACCGCTGAATGAAGATCTGCCAAGCCACATCGCCATCACGGGTCACCATCCATGACCACAGCCACATTTGCCAACTGGCTGTGCGGGACCCAGGAGCCCTGGATTTGATTGCGAGCGACGTTCACAGCAACGAGCGGAGCGCCGGGTGGCTAAAACGCAGTGAGGTGGAACAGTGGGGAGCACAGGTGGTGCATCTGCCGTTCATCTCAGTCAACCCGTGTCACCTGGGTATGCCCCGTGACCTCCTCCTGCACCTAGCCTGGCACAGCAGTCAACCCATGTCACCTAGGGATGTCCCGTGACCTCCACCTGCACCTAGCCTGGCACAGCAGTCAACCCATGTCACCTGGGGATGTCCCGTGACATCCTCCTGCACCTAGCCTGGCACAGCAGTCAACCCATGTCGCCTGGATATGTCCCGTGACCTCCTCCTGCACCTAGCCTGGCACAGCAGTCAACCCATGGCACCTGGGAATGCCCCGTGACCTCCTCCTGCACCTAGCCTGGCACAGCAGTCAACCCATGGCACCTGGGTCTGTCCCGTGACCTCCTCCTGCACCTAGCCTGGCACAGCAGTCAACCCATGTCACCTGGATATGTCCCGTGACCTCCTCCTACACCTAGCCTGGCACAGCAGTCAACCCATGGCACCTGGGAATGCCCCGTGACCTCCTCCTGCACCTAGCCTGGCACAGCAGTCAACCCATGGCACCTGGGGATGTCCCGTGACCTCCTCCTGCACCTAGCCTGGCACAGCAGTCAACCCATGTCACCTGGGTATGCCCCGTGACCTCCTCCTGCACCTAGCCTGGCACAGCAGTCAACCCATGGCACCTGGGAATGCCCCGTGACCTCCTCCTGCACCTAGCCTGGCACAGCAGTCAACCCATGGCACCTGGGTCTGTCCCGTGACGTCCTCCTGCACCGAGCCTGGCACAGCAGTCAACCCATGTCATCTGGGCATGCCCCGTGACCTCCCCCTGCACCTAGCCTGGCACAGCAGTCAACCCATGTCACCTGGGTCTGTCCCGTGACCTCCTCCTGCACCTAGCCTGGTACAGCAGTCAACCCATGTCACCTGGGTCTGTCCCGTGACCTCCTCCTGCACCTAGCCTGGCACAGCAGTCAACCCATGTCACCTGGGTCTGTCCCGTGACCTCCTCCTGCACCTAGCCTGGCACAGCAGTCAACCCATGTCGCCTGGGTCTGTCCCGTGACCTCCTGCACCTAGCCTGGCACAGCAGTCAACCCGTGTCACCTGGGTATGCCCCGTGACCTCCTGCACCTAGCCTGGCACAGCAGTCAACCCGTGTCACCTGGGTATGCCCCGTGACCTCCTCCTGCACCTAGCCTGGCACAGCAGTCAACCCATGTCACCTGGGTCTGTCCCGTGACCTCCTCCTGCACCTAGCCTGGCACGGCAGTCAACCCATGTCACCTGGGTATGCCCCGTGACCTCCTCCTGCACCTAGCCTGGCACAGCAGTCAACCCATGTCACCTGGGTATGCCCCGTGACCTCCTCCTGCACCTAGCCTGGCACGGCAGTCAACCCATGTCACCTGGGTCTGTCCCGTGACCTCCTCCTGCACCTAGCCTGGCACAGCAGTCAACCCATGTCGCCTGGGTCTGTCCCGTGACCTCCTCCTGCACCTAGCCTGGCACAGCAGTCAACCCGTGTCGCCTGGGTCTGTCCCGTGACCTCCTCCTGCACCTAGCCTGGCACAGCAGTCAACCCATGTCACCTGGGGATGTCCCGTGACCTCCTCCTGCACCTAGCCTGGCACAGCAGTCAACCCATGTCACCTGGGTCTGTCCCGTGACTTCCTCCTGCACCTAGCCTGACACAGCAGTCAACCCATGTCACCTGGGTCTGTCCCGTGACCTCCTCCTGGACCTAGCCTGGCACAGCAGTCAACCCATGTCACCTGGGTCTGTCCCGTGACCTCCTCCTGCACCTAGCCTGGCACAGCAGTCAACCCATGTCACCTGGGTCTGTCCCGTGACCTCCCCCTGCACCTAGCCTGGCACAGCAGTCAACCCATGTCGCCTGGGTCTGTCCCGTGACCTCCTCCTGCACCTAGCCTGGCACAGCAGTCAACCCATGTCACCTGGGTCTGTCCCGTGACCTCCTCCTGCACCTAGCCTGGCACAGCAGTCAACCCATGTCACCTGGGTCTGTCCCGTGACCTCCCCCTGCACCTAGCCTGGCACAGCAGTCAACCCATGTCGCCTGGGTCTGTCCCGTGACCTCCTCCTGCACCTAGCCTGGCACAGCAGTCAACCCATGTCACCTGGGTCTGTCCCGTGACCTCCTCCTGCACCTAGCCTGGCACAGCAGTCAACCCATGTCACCTGGGGATGCCCCGTGACCTCCTCCTGCACCTAGCCTGGCACAGCAGTCAACCCATAGCACCTGGGTCTGTCCCGTGACCTCCTCCTGCACCTAGCCTGGCACAGCAGTCAACCCATGTCACCTGGGTCTGTCCCATGACCTCCTCCTGCACCTAGCCTGGCACAGCAGTCAACCCATGTCACCTGGGGATGTCCCGTGACCTCCTCCTGCACCTAGCCTGGCACAGCAGTCAACCCATGTCACCTGGGTCTGTCCCGTGACCTCCTCCTGCACCTAGCCTGGCACAGCAGTCAACCCATGTCGCCTGGGTCTGTCCCGTGACCTCCTCCTGCACCTAGCCTGGCACAGCAGTCAACCCATGTCACCTGGGGATGCCCCGTGACCTCCTCCTGCACCTAGCCTGGCACAGCAGTCAACCCATGTCACCTGGGTCTGTCCCGTGACCTCCTCCTGCACCTAGCCTGGCACAGCAGTCAACCCATGGCACCTGGGTCTGTCCCGTGACCTCCTCCTGCACCTAGCCTGGCACAGCAGTCAACCCATGTCACCTGCGTCTGTCCCGTGACCTCCTCCTGCACCTAGCCTGGCACAGCAGTCAACCCATGTCACCTGCGTCTGTCCCGTGACCTCCTCCTGCACCTAGCCTGGCACAGCAGTCAACCCATGTCACCTGGGTCTGTCCCGTGACCTCCTCCCGCCAGCAGGACGCAGCGATGCCCACGTGACGCGCCCTGCTCCGTGTGCACCCAACCTGGCACGGGTCACGTGGTGAGACGGCGACTCGGATCACGGGGTAAGTCGTAAAGCAGCGCCGTAAAGTGTCGTGAACAGCAAACCGAAGGGAGTGTCGTGAAGCCGTCATGTGTTTGTATGTCGTAAAGCTGGTCCATCGTCTGTCGTAAAGCTCGTACCCCGTATGTCGTAAAGCTCGGCCACCGTATGTCGTAAAGCTCGTACCCCGTATGTCGTAAAGTACGCCCCGTATGTCGTGAAGTGTCGTGAGGCGACTAGATACAGTGGGCCGTGCCGTAAAGCGTAGAGCGAACTCGGAAATGTTTTAATTTTTACTTTCAATACAAATGGAGTTTGAGTAAAACACGTTTCATTTACTGAAGGGCTCTGTCTGCTTCAATGGGCACTGTTAGTGTAACATTTCACGTGCCAATTAAACAAAAAAACGTGTTAATCAGAAAAAAAACATTGTGCAATTGTTCTTATCAGGCCCCATTGCGTAAACAAGTGCAGTCCACAACTCGTATTATATCCACTGTCTCTTTCCGCGCTGTGAAGAAGGGCCATTGCCCGAAACGTCGCCTTCTGTTGACTTTCGAGGCCACGCAGCGCAGCTGACAGGAGGCGCCGTAAAATGTTGGGCGTGCCGTAAAGCGAAGGGAGAGTGAGTGTCGTGAAGTGTCGTGAAGCGCTTGTCGTTTGTCTCCGCCCATTGGCCGAACCCCGCGCGCGCGTTGCGCGAGACGCAGACAGACAGAGACACAGTGAGACAGAGTGAGACACAGAGAGAGACACAGAGTGAGACAGAGACAGAGACACAGAGTGAGACAGAGACACAGACAGAGTGAGACACAGTGAGACACAGAGAGACGCAGAGACAGAGACACAGTGAGACAGAGTGAGACACAGAGAGAGACACAGAGAGACGCAGAGACACAGAGTGAGAGACAGACACAGAGTGAGACAGACACAGAGTGAGACAGACACAGAGTGAGACAGAGACACAGAGAGACACAGATACAGACACAGAGACGCAGAGACAGAGACACAGGGAGGCAGGGAGACAGAGAGACACAGTGAGACACAGAGACAGGGAGACACAGTGAGTGAGACAGATAGACAGAGACAGACAGAGACAGCGATAGACAGAGACACAGAGATACAGAGACAGACAGATACAGACAGAGACAGACAGGGAGCCACAGAGAATGAGACACAGACATATATAGAGAGACACAGACACTGGGACAGAGACAGAGAGACTGGGACAGAGAGATAGATAGGGAGACACAGAGATAGAGAGACAGATACACGGAGAGAAAGACAGGCAGAGATACACAGAGACAGAGACACAGAGTGAGACAGAGACAGACATAGAGACAGACAGGGAGACACCGGGAGTGACACAGAGATAGACACCGAGACACAGAGATAGACAGAGAGACAGACAGAGATAGACAGAGACACAGAGACAGACAGAGAGACAGAGATAGACACCGAGATACAGAAACTCGAGAGACACGGAAATCTTCCTGAGGGCGGCACCCGCGCCGCCTCCACCCCTCAGCCCTCGCCCCAGCCCATCATCATCATCAGCAGCCCCAGCCCCAGTCTCATCCCCAGCCCATCATCAGCAGCAGCCCCAAGCCCCAGTCTCATCACAAGCCCATCATCATCAGCAGCAGCCCCAAGCCCCCAGCCCCAGTCTCATCCCCAGCCCATCATCATCAGCAGCAGCAGCCCCAAGCCCCAGTCTCACCCCCAGCCCATCATCATCAGCAGCAGCAGCCCCAAGCCCCAGTCTCATCCCCAGCCCATCATCATCAGCAGCCCCAAGCCCCAGTCTCACCCCCAGCCCATCAGCAGCATCATCAGCTTCAGCCCCAAGTCGCGATTTCCACACCGCCCGCGGCCTCCGACTCGTCCCGAGGCCCATCACGCTGGAGGCCGGAGCCCGTCTGCCGCCTGCCGGCATCCCTCGCCTCCCTCTCCGCCTCCTCCCCACACCGCCACCGCCGCGGAGATGTCGTCCCTGGCCCACCCCGGGGTCGTCTCGGGGGGTGCAGGTGAGGAAGGAGGAGAGGGAGGGAGGGTGGGAAGGAGGATGGGAATGAGGGGAAGGAGGGGAAGGAAGGAGGAGAGAGAAGGAGGATGGGAAGGAGGAGAGGGTGGGAAGGTGGGAAGGAGGAGAGGGAAGGAGGGTGGGAAGGAGGAGAGGGAAGGAGGAGAGGGTGGGAAGGTGGGAAGGAGGAGAGGGTGGGAAGGAGGAGAGGGTGGGAAGGTGGGAAGGAGGAGAGGGAAGGAGGAGAGGGTGGGAAGGAGGAGAGGGTGGGAAGGTGGGAAGGAGGAGAGGGAAGGAGGAGAGGGAAGGAGGGTGGGAAGGAGGAGAGGGTGGGGAGGAGGGAAGGAGGAGAGGGTGGGAAGGTGGGAAGGAGGAGAGGGAAGGAGGAGAGGGTGGGAAGGAGGAGAGGGTGGGAAGGAGGAGAGGGAAGGAGGAGAGGGAAGGAGGAGAGGGTGGGAAGGAGGAGAGGGAAGGAGGAGAGGGTGGGAAGGAGGAGAGGGTGGGAAGGAGGAGAGGGTGGGAAGGTGGGAAGGAGGAGAGGGAAGGAGGAGAGGGAAGGAGGGTGGGAAGGAGGAGAGGGAAGGAGGAGAGGGAAGGAGGAGAGGGTGGGAAGGTGGGAAGGAGGAGAGGGAAGGAGGAGAGGGAAGGAGGGTGGGAAGGAGGAGAGGGTGGGAAGGAGGAGAGGGAAGGAGGGAGGATTGGAGGAGGAAGGATCAGCATAGCAGAGGTTGCAACCGAGTACCCGATACCCGTACCCTACCCGATACCCGGCTACCCGTACCCGACCGGGTACGGGTAGCCGGGTACCCGTTTGCGACCCTGGTGCGGCCGGGTACGGGTACCCTGGTGCGGCCGGGTACGGGTAAGGAATCAAACCCGTTTGCGACCTCTGCAGCATAGCGCATCGCATGCTGTGATGTAGAACAGCAAAAGAGTTGTATCATTAAGGCCGCACTGTTGTTGACAAACGTGTCGAGTGTATTTACTGTGAGTTGTTCGCGCTTGTGTGTGCCACTGATACGCGTGTGTGTATCATACATATCGATATCTCACCAGACAAAAAAGAGAGGGGGGGGGGAAGGAGGGTGGGTAGAAGGAAGGATGGGAGGGAAGGAGGAAGGGAGGGTTGAAGGAGGAAGGGAGGGTTGAAGGAAGGATGGGAAGGAAGGGAGTGAAGATGGAACAGAGTTTTAGATTAATAAAAACAAAATGAAAAAGGGAGGGAAGGAGGGAGTGAGTGAATGAGGGAGGGAGTGAAGGACGGAGTGAGTGAGTGAATGAGGGAGTGAACGCGGGAGTGAGTGAATGAGGGAGTGAGTGAATGAGGGAGTGAGTGAATGAGGGAGTGAGTGAATGAGGGAGGGAAGGAAGGAGGGAGTGAGTGAGGAAGGGAGTGAGTGAATTAGGGAGTGAGTGAATGAGGGAGGGAAGGAAGGAGGGAGTGAGGAAGGGAGTGAATGAGGGAGTGAGTGAATGAGGGAGTGAGTGAATGAGGGAGTGAGTGAATGAGGGAGGGAAGGAAGGAGGGAGTGAGGAAGGGAGTGAATGAGGAAGTGAGTGAATGAGGGAGTGAGTGAATGAGGGAGTGAGTGAATGAGTGAGTGAATGAGGGAGTGAGTGAATGAGGGAGGGAGTGAAGGACGGAGTGAGTGAGTGAATGAGGGAGTGAACGCGGGAGTGAGTGAATGAGGGAGTGAGTGAATGAGGGAGTGAGTGAATGAGGCAGTGAGTGAATGAGGGAGTGAGTGAATGAAGGGAGGGAATGAGGGAAGGAAGGAGGGAGTGAGTGAATGAGGGAGTGAGTGAATGAGGGAGGGAATGAGGGAAGGAAGGAGGGAGTGAGTGAACGCGGGAGTGAGTGAATGAGGGAGGGAAGGAAGGAGGGAGTGAGTGAGGAAGGGAGTGAGTGAATTAGGGAGTGAATGAGGGAGTGAGTGAATGAGGGAGTGAGTGAGGGAGTGAGTGAGTGAATGAGGGACGGAAGGAAGGAGGGAGTGAGGAAGGGAGTGAATGAGGAAGTGAGTGAATGAGGGAGTGAGTGAATGAGGGAGTGAGTGAATGAGTGAATGAGGGAGTGAGTGAATGAGGGAGTGAGTGAATGAGGGAGTGAATGAGGGAGTGAATGAGTGAGTGAGGAAGGGAGTGAAGGAGGGAAGGAAGGAGGGAGGGGGTGAATGAGTGAGTGAAGGAGGAAGGGAGTGAACTTGGAAGGGAGTGAATGAGTGAGTGAATGAGGGAGTGAGTGAACGAGGGAGTGAGTGAACGAGGGAATGAATGAGTGAGTGAATGAGTGAGTGAACGAGGGAGTGAATGAGTGAGTGAAGGAGGGAGTGAGTGAACGAGGGAGTGAATGAAGGAGGGAGTGAGAGTGAATGAGGGAGTGAATGAGGGAGTGAGTGAATGAGGGAGTGAGAGTGAATGAGGGAGTGAATGAGTGAGTGAGTGAAGGAGGGAGTGAGTGAAGAAGGGAGTGAGTGAAGGAGGGAGTGAGTGAAGGAGGGAGGGAGTGAATGAGTGAGTGAATGAAAGAGTGAACTTGGAAGGGAGTGAACTCGACTCTTGCTCAAGGCTCCTGTTGTTGCTCTCGCTCTGTCCGGACGCATCCCGGCCAGGAGCCGCCCGGCTCCCTCCTGGCGGAGCAAGCGGCGATAAAGGGGCGGCGAGTTGGTGGTGGTGGTGGTGGCGGCGAGTTGGTGGTGGTGGTGGTGGCGGCGAGTTGGTGGTGGTGGTGGCGGTGGTGGCGGTGGTGGTGGTGGTGGTGGTGGTGGTGGCGGTGGTGGTGGTGGTGGTGGCGGCGGTGGTGGTGGCGAAGGTGGTGGCGGTGATGGCGGTGGTGGCGGCGAGGTGGTGGCGGTGGTGGTGGTGGCGGTGTTGGTGGTGGTGGTGGCGGCGAGGTGGTGGTGGTGGCGAGTTGGTGGTGGTGGTGGTGGTGGCGGTGTTGGTGGTGGCGGCGAGTTGGTGGTGGCAGTGTTGGTGGTGGTGGCGGTGGCGGTTGTGTTGGTGGTGTGAAACTGTCTTAGAGAGAGGGGGTAGAGAGAGAGTGTGAAATCTATTGTGAAATATTTCATTTAAAAAAGGGGGGGGGGGTTACATAAAGCACAGCATTAAAAAACATGAAATGATGAACGAAGCAAAGTTCCGACTACACCGAGCATCTTCTTGTTTCCTCTGATCGGAAAAGAAAGAGAGAAACTGTCTTCGCCGTGGGATTCCAGGCAACACAATGCCATGTGGGCTTATGCGGCCTCCACATGAGTCGATGGGGTCACTGTGTGAGACTTGGAGTCTCTATGGGCCTCTGTCAATGCATGCATCTCCGTGTGAGTCCATGATTCTCTACGTTCGTACCGTATATGGGTCTCCGTACAGGTCTATGGACGAGTATATGGTGGTTCTGTGTGAGTCTCGGGGTGTACCTCTGACTCTGCGAGTCTACGTTTGGGTGTCCACCTGAGCCTGTGAGTCTCTGTGCCAGTCGACAGGGTGTGTGTGGTGTGATGGGTGTCCTGCGGTTTGTGGGGAGTGATGTAATGCGTCTCTGTGGGGTGATGCGTGTCCTGTATGGTGGGGTGTGTCGTGCCGTGAGACCTGCCTGTAGAGTGGGGGGGGGTGTTCGTTCTGTGGCCAGTACCCTACAGTACAGTATTATGCTTGCTGTGTGTGCTGTGTGTTTTTGCTGTGGTGTGTTCTGTGGTTTGTGTGCTGTTGTGTGTATCCTGTGTTGTGCTGTGTGTGATGTGTGGGGTATGCATGGTGTGTGTGCTATGCCTTATCCCCTGTGTTGTGCTGTGTGTGATGTGTGGTGTATAATGTGTGGTGTGTGTGCTGTGTTGTGCTGTGTGTGCTGTGTTGTTCTGTGTGTGCTGTGCTGTGTTGTGCTATGTGTGCTGTGTGGTGTAAATGTGTGGTGTGTGTGCTCTGCCATGTACCCTGTGTTGTGCTGTGTGTGCTGTGTGTGCTGTGTTGTGCTGTGTGTGCTGTGTGGTGTATAATGTGGTGTGTGTGCTGTGTGGTGTATAATGTGGTGTGTGTGCTGTGTGGTGTATGTGTGGTGTGTGTGCTCTGTTGTATACCCTGTGCTGTACTGTGTGTGCTGTGTGGTGTATGTGTGGTGTGCTGTGCTGTGTACCCTGTGTTGTGCTGTGTGTGCTGTGTGCTGTATAATGTGGGTGGTGTATACTGTGGTGTGCTGTGTGATGTATAATGCATGGTGTGTGTGCTGTATAATGTGTTGTGTGTGCTGTATAATGTGCTGTGTGGTGTATAATGCATGGTGTGTATGCTGTGCCGTGTACCCTGTTGTTGTGCTGTGCCACACAGGTGGGGCCGACTGTTGGATCGTGACTCTGGAGGAGCGGGAAAAGCACCACCATCTCTTCTACAGCCTCTCCCCAGCCGGCGGATTCATCACAGGCACGACCTCGCTCCGTCTCCGCACAGCACCTGCTGTCAACGTGCACCAACGTTGGCCATTCCCAGGGCTTAGCCCAGTGTTCTTCACTCACTTTCAGAGGGGGGCCACTCTGGCCGATAAGACATCATCGGTGTGAGGGCCGCCACTCATTTGAAACCATTGAGGCTTTGACTGCAGCACGATGACGATGATGATGATGGGCGTTTTCACTTTTGTGTCTTGTCGGGGGCCGCACGTTAGGGCCTGCACGGCAGCCGGAGGCGTCGGTGTGAATCTGTTCGTGATGTGAATTAGTGAAAGCCGAAGTGCCTCATGTAGGAGTGTGAATTTTCCCCCCCCCCACCGGGGTCACTCAGGGGTCACAGATACCGAGCAGAAACTACCGCCTTTTGGCGTCATCTGGTCCAACAGCATGTGAGACTAGGCTCTAAGGAAAGCTGTCTCGGGTGTGGACCAATCAACATCAAGGACAGTGCATACATTATCAGAGTTATGTTTTTTTTGTTTGCATTATGACTGCAGGTATTGTGGTCAATGCAAATATGACTCTTTGTAAATAAAGGTGTCAGTTTTGTTGCCAGATAAAAGGGTAAAAAAACAATTGTCAAACCACTGAGAGTTTCGGTTCAAGTCTGGGTTTCAGTCGCCACCGACTCCTCCGGCTTTCCGACTTGCCCCTGCACGTTCCGAGGTTATTGAGTACAACTTTGACGTAGGGCAATAGCTGATGACTTCCCCACAAAGCAGTACCGATTTTATCGACCTCCGTTGAACGATGGGCTGAGACAACTCCCCAAACAGGATTTGACCTTGCCTTCCGATTGTGAGCCACTCGCTCTACCATTGAGGCACCCGAATGCAAAACCAAATTTAACGCGGCGATGAGTTCTTGTTGTCGATGTAAAGCTTTCGTGACTGCAGGGATTCATCTTCTTGGTTCTTTCGGTAAAGTCACGTAGACAGACCTGGTCTTCACCTGAGGACGGCTGCTTGCGTTGTGGCTGAAACGTCGTGAGAATTATTTTATAACGTTTTATTTTATTATTTTTATTATTTCCATTCTACGTGACTTTACCGAAAGAACCAAGAAGAAGAGTTCTTGTTTTGTGCCGTGATTGGTGACCGGGCTGACACCATCAACTCGCTCCACTTGAGGATGCGGTTTAATCACAGGCGAGGGTTGAGACTTGGGATTCGATCTCAGTGGTGTTGGATCAGCGTTCATGACCTCTGGCTACGCACTGGAGTCCTTAACAGTGTCGCTGTGTGCGTGCGTAGGGAGCGCGGTGGTGCAGTGGCCAGCTAGCGCGCTGAACTACGATCGCCAGCGATCTTAGTTCGACTCCCGCTCACGCCCACAGTGAGGATTATCTGAAGTGGTACTGGGCCTCCCCTAGGTCGACTCAACCTCATATGAGTACCCGGTGCGATGTCTAAACATCGACAAGAGGGAGACAAAGGCAGCCGGGCCTGGTGCCGTATACCGGCCTTCGCAGCTGCTTACTTGCAGCAATTGCCGCAAAAGTGTGTTCGGGCTAGACGTGGGATCTTTGTTCTTTGGTTCTTTCGGTAAAGTCACGTATAAAGATAAAATAATAAATTAAATGAAATACTAGCATACGACGTTTCGATTGCAACACAAGCAATAATCATCAGGTATAGATTAAATAGAAACACAAATCTAGTATACTTAGAAATGTAATGTAATACAACAGAGAGTCGGATAACATAACAGTCAACACCCTATCTGGTTGATCTTCTTGGTTCTTTCGGTAAAGTCACGTAGAAGGGAAGTAATAAAATAATAAAAATAAAACATAATAAAATTATTCTCACGACTTTTCGGCAACGCAAGCAGCCGTCCTCAACGCAAGCAGCCGTCCTCAGGTGAAAACCAGGTCCGTCGAGGCGACAGAGACTCTGGCCGAAAAGCCGTGAGAATAATTTTATTATGTTTTATTTTTATTATTTTATTACTTCCCTTCTACGTGACTTTACCGAAAGAACCAAGAAGATGAATCCCTGCAGTCACGAAAGCTTTAAATCAAAACCTATCTGGTTGATTACGTTCTTCCTGAGAATGCTAAAATTTGAGAGAGAGATAGAACACAGAACCAGAAACATATAGACAGCAGACATATAAGCAGACAGATATCACAGAGATACATAGAGTGAGCACAAACATAGGAACACAGAAACGTCGTATGCTAGTATTTAATTTAATTTATTATTTTATCTTTATACGTGACTTTACCGAAAGAACCAAAGAATAATTCCTGCAGTCACGAAAGCTCCAAATTAAGTGGGACCTTTGTCTTTGTGTGCGCACATGTAGGGGAGCAGGCACGAGGCTTCTTCCTGCAGTCCGGGCTGCCGCAGCTGGTGCTGGCGCAAGTCTGGTGAGTGGCCTCCCCGCCCGTCGCCGCGGATCTCGCTGATTTGCTGTCACCTGCCTTGACGTGCGTGGTGGATGTGTCCGTACTTGTCTGCGTGTGCAGCCCTTCGGTGTGTGGGGTTGTGTCTGGCTCGTGGCGGTGTACGATGCTGCGCGAGGTTGTGTGTTGCTGCGTGCAGGTGTGTGTGGTGGTATGTTTGTGTGTGACGCGTGTGACGTGTGTCCGTGTGGCTGTGTGTGACGTGTGTGACGTGTGTGACGTGTGTGACGTGTGTCCGTGTGGCCGCGTGTGACGTGTGTGACGTGTGTGACGTGTGTCCGTGTGACGCGTGTGACGTGTGTGACGTGTGTGACGTGTGTCCGTGTGTCCGTGTGTGACGTGTGGCTGTGTGTGACGTGTGTGACGTGTGTCCGTGTGGCTGTGTGTGACGTGTGTGACGTGCGTGACGTGTGTCCGTGTGGCCGTGTGTGACGTGTGTGACGTGTGTGACGTGTGTGACGTGTGTGACGTGTGTGACGTGTGTCCGTGTGTCCGTGTGTGACGTGTGTCCGTGTGGCCGCGTGTGACGTGTGTGACGTGTGTCCGTGTGGCCGCGTGTGACGTGTGTGACGTGTGTCCGTGTGTGACGTGTGTCCGTGTGTGACGTGTGGCTGTGTGTGACGTGTGTGACGTGTGTCCGTGTGGCTGTGTGTGACGTGTGTGACGTGTGTGACGTGTGTGACGTGTGTCCGTGTGGCCGCGTGTGACGTGTGTGACGTGTGTGACGTGTGGCTGTGTGTGACGTGTGTGACGTGTGTGACGTGTGTGACGTGTGTCCGTGTGGCCGCGTGTGACGTGTGTGACGTGTGTGACGTGTGTCCGTGTGTGACGTGTGTCCGTGTGTGACGTGTGTCCGTGTGGCCGCGTGTGACGTGTGTGACGTGTGTGACGTGTGTGACGTGTGTGACGTGTGTCCGTGTGTGACGTGTGTGACGTGTGTCCGTGTGTGACGTGTGTCCGTGTGGCCGCGTGTGACGTGTGTGACGTGTGTGACGTGTGGCTGTGTGTGACGTGTGTGACGTGTGTGACGTGTGTGACGTGTGTGACGTGTGTCCGTGTGGCCGCGTGTGACGTGTGTGACGTGTGTGACGTGTGTCCGTGTGTGACGTGTGTCCGTGTGTGACGTGTGTCCGTGTGGCCGCGTGTGACGTGTGTGACGTGTGTGACGTGTGTGACGTGTGTCCGTGTGTGACGTGTGTCCGTGTGTGACGTGTGTGACGTGTGTCCGTGTGTGACGTGTGTCCGTGTGGCCGCGTGTGACGTGTGTGACGTGTGTGACGTGTGTCCGTGTGTGACGTGTGTCCGTGTGTGACGTGTGGCTGTGTGTGACGTGTGTCCGTGTGTCCGTGTGTGACGTGTGTGACGTGTGTGACGTGTGTCCGTGTGTGACGTGTGTGACGTGTGTGACGTGTGTGACGTGTGTCCGTGTGTGACGTGTGTGACGTGTGTGACGTGTGTCCGTGTGTGACGTGTGTGACGTGTGTCCGTGTGTGACGTGTGGCTGTGTGTGACGTGTGTGACGTGTGTCCGTGTGGCTGTGTGTGACGTGTGTGACGTGTGTGACGTGTGTGACGTGTGTCCGTGTGTGACGTGTGTCCGTGTGTCCGTGTGTGACGTGTGGCCGTGTGGCCGCGTGTGGCCGCGTGTGACGTGTGTGACGTGTGGCTGTGTGTGACGTGTGTGACGTGTGTGACGTGTGTGACGTGTGTCCGTGTGGCCGCGTGTGACGTGTGTGACGTGTGTGACGTGTGTGACGTGTGTCCGTGTGTGACGTGTGTCCGTGTGGCCGCGTGTGACGTGTGTGACGTGTGTGACGTGTGTCCGTGTGTGACGTGTGTCCGTGTGTGACGTGTGTGACGTGTGTCCGTGTGTGACGTGTGTCCGTGTGGCCGCGTGTGACGTGTGTGACGTGTGTGACGTGTGTTCGTGTGTGACGTGTGTCCGTGTGTGACGTGTGGCTGTGTGTGACGTGTGTGACGTGTGTCCGTGTGGCTGTGTGTGACGTGTGTGACGTGTGTGACGTGTGTCCGTGTGGCTGTGTGTGACGTGTGTGACGTGTGTGACGTGTGTGACGTGTGTCCGTGTGTGACGTGTGTCCGTGTGTGACGTGTGTGACGTGTGTCCGTGTGTGACGTGTGGCTGTGTGTGACGTGTGTGACGTGTGTCCGTGTGGCTGTGTGTGACGTGTGTGACGTGTGTGACGTGTGTCCGTGTGTGACGTGTGTCCGTGTGTGACGTGTGTGACGTGTGTCCGTGTGTGACGTGTGGCCGTGTGTGACGTGTGTGACGTGTGTCCGTGTGTGACGTGTGTGACGTGTGTGACGTGTGTCCGTGTGGCTGTGTGTGACGTGTGTGACGTGTGTCCGTGTGCGACGTGTGTCCGTGTGGCTGCGTGTGACGTGTGTCCGCGTGTGACGTGTGGCTGTGTGTGACGTGTGTGACGTGTATCCGTGTGGCTGTGTGTGACGTGTGTGACGTGTGTCCGTGTGTGACGTGTGTCCGTGTGTGACGTGTGTCCGTGTGTGACGTGTGTGACGTGTGTCCGTGTGTGACGTGTGGCTGTGTGTGACGTGTGTGACGTGTGTCCGTGTGGCTGTGTGTGACGTGTGTGACGTGTGTGACGTGTGTCCGTGTGGCTGTGTGTGACGTGTGTGACGTGTGTCCGTGTGTGATGTGTGTCCGTGTGTGACGTGTGTGACGTGTGTCCGCGTGTGACGTGTGGCTGTGTGTGACGTGTGTGACGTGTGTCCATGGCTGTGTGTGACGTGTGTGACGTGTGTGACGTGTGTCCGTGTGTCCGTGTGTCCGTGTGTCCGTGTGTCCGCGTGTGACGTGTGTCCGTGTGGCTGCGTGTGGCTGCGTGTGGCTGCGTGTGACGTGTGTGACGTGTGTCCGTGTGTGACGTGTGTCCATGTGTCCGTGTGTGACGTGTGTGACGTGTGTCCGTGTGGCCGCGTGCGTGTGTAGGGCCCTCGCCGACGACGATCGCGACGGCCGCGTCGACCTCGTTGGCTTCTCGGTGGCGATGAAGCTCATCAAGATGGCCCTGCTGGGCCACCCGCTGCCCGTCGCGGTGCCGCCCATCACGCTGCACTCGCTCACCGGGCACGCCCACGGTGAGCTCGCCGCTCGTTCCTCAGCGCGGGTCTTCGGTGCTCACCCCTAATTGTGGCGTGTGGTGTGGGCTCGTGAGCAGAGGTCGCAATCGGGTACCCGATACCCGTACCCTACCCGATACCCGGCTACCCGTACCCGGCCGGGTACGGGTACCCGTTTGCGACCCTGGTGCGGCCGGGTACTGGTACGGGTAGACCGTGAGTGACTGGTGAGTAACTGTTTGTCACTCATTTACCAACGTCTTGTCTCTTCTCACAATTCAAGTTCCTAGAATCAACCCACCCGCGCCTGCAACGTGGCTTCATCCCAGAGGTCGCAATCGGGTACCCGATACCCGTACCCAGCTGGGTACGGGTAGAGTACGGGTACAGCCGGGTACGGGTACGGGTACCCGTTTGCGACCCTGGTGCGGCCGGGTACGGGTAAGGAATCAAAACCCGTTAGCAACCTCTGCTCGTGAGTGGCCAGCCAGCGTGCGCTTCTTCTGTCTGATGATTTTACAAGTGTCGGCGAACCTCCCCCATCCCCGCATCTTCTTTGAAGGTGTCTTGACTCACGTGGACAAGGCTGTGAGAGCATTGTACATGCACTGTGGTGATCACGTGACACATACGCAGTGCATGATGAGAGTCGTGCCTTGCTGTTGTTTGTGAGCAGCGCACCTTGACCCACTCACCCACCCATCCACCCACCCATTCATTCACCGACTCACCAACTCACTCACCCACTCGCCCACCCACTCGCGCATCCACTTACTCACCCACTCACTCGATCACGCACTCACTCACTTGCCCGTACCTCCGCGTGCTGTTCACCCCCCTTATTCGCTCTCCAGCCTGCACGTTGCGTTCTCCTGCAGCGACGGCGCTACTCATCGTTGACAGGAAGTGTGGGACATGTTGGTGGTGGTGGTGGTGTTTGTAGGGAGGACGGCAGCTGCTGCCCCTTGTCATCTCTCCCCCGGAGTGGCGCCGCCGCAGCCCATGCTGCCCGGCCCAGCGCACGCTGTGCCACCCTGCGTCTCTGTGGGGGAGGGGCCGACTCACCCTCCCGCGTTCCCAGTGTCTGGTGAGACCTCCCTCGCCCTGCTCCTGTCTGTGTGTGAGTGAGTGTAAATGTGTCGGGAGCGGTGGTGTAGCGGTTAGCGCGCTGCGCTACAAACCTGGCGACCCGAGTTCGATTCCCGCTCACGGCCAACACCAGTGACGATTATCTGAACCGGTCCTGGGCCTCCCCTAGATCGACTCGACCTCAAATGAGTACCTGATGGCGATGTGTAAATATCGCTACTGGGGAGACAAAGGTGGCCGGGCTTGTTTCTGGCCAGCCATCCCCTTCGTGTGCCGTGCCGGCCTTCATAGGTGATGCTCGCTAACAGCACTTGCCCCATCAGTCTGTTAAGGCTTTTCAGGGGGTCTTTGTCTTTGTGTGAATGTGTGAGTCTGTGTTTGTGTGAGTGTCTGTGTGTCCGTACAGGTGTAGGAAATTCCAACAGGACCTATATCTTATTGACCTGGTCAAGGCCTATGATACCATCAGTGGGCTTGGGCTTTGGGTTGTTCTTCGTGCTTTTGGAGTCCTCTCTGTTCACAATCATTAAGGACCTTCATGATGGTGGACAGGCCTGGGTAAAACTATGTGGCCGGGAGTCGGAGCCATTCCCTGTTCACCTTAGAGTGTGACAGGGATGTCCTACGGCTCCCATATTTTACATATTTTTGATCACGTAGTTCGTGAAGTCTTCAATGGCTGTACCGGAGGAATTTCCATCTGGTACAGATACAATGGGAGACTGATCGATGCCCGGGTGCGGTCAAGGGAAGGCTCCCTATCGATCAACCATGTTACGTATGCTGATTATCTGGTGATTGCTGCTCACTCAGAGGATGAGTTGGAGGTGCTGCTGCTGAACCTGGAGCGTGCCACTAAGAGGTGGGGCCTTACCATTAGGCCAACCAAAACTGCCTGGGTATTTGTGCCATCAAACACTCCACCCCCACAACTCTCAATTGGTGATGGAGCAGTTGTGGAAAAAGCGGAAAGTTTTCCATTCCTAGGCAGTGTGGTCATGACCGGCTCCGGTTTTACAGAAGAGGTCTCACTCTGAATCAGTCGAGCGGCATTATCTTTTCATCGGTTGCATAACGCTGTGTGGAAGCTTCCTGGTCTGTCGCTCCGCACCAAGTTTTGAGTCTTCTTAGCCACGGTCATGCCCGCCCTTCTTTTGCTTGTGAAACGTGGACCCTGCCTACAATCGATCCTGGGTTTAACAAAGTTGGATTGTGTGAGGAGTTCACAAATCCTTGAAAGATCTGGACAAAGCCCCATCGGTGAGCTCCTCCGGCCATCTAGGCTGCGTTGGCTGGGTCATGTAGCCCGCATGCCCAACCACCGCATGCCTAAACAGCTTTTGTTCAGCCGGATAGAGCGGGCTAAGCAGGGGCGGCACGGGCTAGAGAAGAGATGGAGTGATGTGGTATAGGAGGATGTGGAGTTGAGTGGACTTGCCGATGACTGGTATCAGCGGAGTCAAGATCGGCCTCTGTGGAGGAGGCTTGTGAAGGACGCTACTGGGCAGTTAAAGGCAGTCACCCTCTAGCAACAATGGAGGGTAGAGGAGCGACGCTCACAACAACGAGCGGAGCGCCGGGTGGCTAAAGCACAGCAAGTTGGCACAGTAGGGGGCACAGGTGGTGCATCGGCCAGTGTGAGTGTCTGTGTGAGTGTCTGTGTGAGTGTGTCTGTGTGTCTGTGTGAGTGTCTGTGTGAGTGTCTGCGTGAGTGTCTGTGTGAGTGCATGAGTGTCTGTGTGAGTGTCTGTGTGTGTCTCTGTGTGTGAGTGTCTGTGTGTGTGAGTGTGAGTGTGTCTGTGTGAGTGTCTGTGTGAGTGTCTGTATGAGTGTGTCTGTGTGTCTGTGTGAGTGTCTGTGTGAGTGTCTGTGTGAGTGTCTGTGTGATTGTGTTTCGGGCTTGGTGCTGGCCACCCACCCTCTCGTGTGTCGTGACGGCCTTCATAGGTGTCACTTCCTAACAGCACTTGCCCCAACAGTCGGTTGAAGGCTATATGGGGGATCTTTGTCTTTGTTTGTGTGAGTGGGTTTCTGAAAGTTGGCATGGTAGGGAGCACAGGTGATGCCTCTGCCAGTCTTCCCAGTCAGTCAACATATGGCACCTGGATCTGACCCATGACCTGCCAACAGCGAGCCTTCCACACTTCACGTGGCCTCAAAGGGCACCTAGCCTGGCACGAGTGCCGTGGAGACATCACCACCACTTAAGTGGCGAATGGTGGCGGTTATTGTTGTTGTGTTTTTCTTTGTGCGTGTGTCTGTTTCTCTCTATCATTTCTCTGCGTATGTGTGCATTTGTGCGTTTCTCTCCGCGTGTATTCTCCCTGTATCTCCGTATTTATCGGTGTTGGAACGCATTCACGTTTCCATTGTTCAGATCGTGTCATCTTAAGGGATGTAGGAAGTGTCCGCTGTGTGGACATGAACAATGGCAGGGAGGGAGGGTGTTGACAGTACGGATGGCTGGGGGGGAAGTGAGTTGCAGACCCCTCGGGGCAGCACAAGAGAACGTGCGACCTCCCAAGCACTCTGACAAGAATGCAAACCGGCATCACAATCGTTGTCAGTCACCGGCCGTGATCTATCCACCGCTCGACGAGGGCCTCCCCGAGCCGTGCGGCGTGTCGCCGGGGTCGCTTTGCCGTGCTGCACGACGCCGAGAAGTGTCGGTTGGTGAATGCGGTCGGCGTGGATCCGGAAGCATAGTACCGTGCAGCAGTGGATGTGGTTGCACTTCCCACTACTGCTTGTAGCATCGCCCCACGGCAGCAGCCGACAGCAGCGGCTTTATACATGGTCACTACCACCATCACCACCATCATCATCACCACCATCATCGTTGTCACCATCATCGTCACCACCATCATCATCACAACCACAACCACCACCACCACCATCGTCACCACCACCATCATCATCGTCACCACCACCACCATCATCGTCACCACCATCATCATCGTTGTTACCATCATCGTCATCACCACCATCATCGTCGTCACCACCATCATCGTCGTCACCACCATCATCGTCACCACCACCATCATCGTCGTCACCATCATCATCGTCACCACCATCATCACCATCATCGTCACCACCATCATGACCATCATCATCACCACCATCATCCTCACCACCATCATCATCATCACCATCATCATCATCGTCGTCACCACCATCATCATCGTTGTCACCACCACCATCATCGTCACCACCACCATCATCATCGTTACCACCATCATCGTCACCACCATCATCATCGTTGTCACCATCATCGTCACCACCATCATCACCATCATCATCATCACCACCACCATCGTTACCACCACCATCATCATCGTCACCACCACCACCATCATCGTCACCACCATCATCATCGTTGTTACCGTCATCGTCATCGTCACCACCATCATCATCATCGTCACCACCATCATCGTCACCACCATCATCATCATCGTCACCACCATCATCGTCACCATCACCATCATCGTCATCACCATCATCATCGTCACCATCATCATCACCACCATCATCGTCACCACCATCATCATCGTCACCACCACCATCGTCATCATCATCATCATCGTCAACACCACCACCATCATCATCACCACCATAATCGTCACCACCATAATCATCATCATCACCGCCATCACCACCACCATCATCATCACCATCACCACCACCATCGTCACCACCACCATCATCATTGTCGTCACCACCACCACCATCATCGTCACCACCATCATCATCGTCACTATCACCACCACCAACACGATGTTTATCATCGTCGTCATCACCTCATAATAATAATCATCTTTTGACACTCCACTGCCCCTCCTGTGAAGGTTTCGTGGCTTGTTAGACAAGTTGGGATTGTGGTCTGGGTTGTGGCTCAACGGACTGATTCCTCCATTGTTGGTGCCTTACGTTTTGGTGGCATTTCATTTGTTTATACATTTGTAGTTTTTGCACTTGCTCGGCAGTAGCCACATAGAAAGGATTTGGCCCTCATGTATAACTAGCTTTTTTGCCCGTCCAAGGACGGGTGTATTTTGCAGTGAATCTGAAATATTCAACGGAAAAATTGTTTAGCTCATGATTATTAATGAGGGGGGGGGGGGGGTTGCCCCATGTGGAGTGACGTCACCTGCTAATGGTTATTGGGGAGGGGTGCGGCATGTGGAGTGACGTCACCCGCTCATGGTTATTGTGGAGGGGTGCGGCATGTGGAGTGACGTCACCCGCTCATGGTTATTGGGGAGGGGTGCGGCATGTGGAGTGACGTCACCCGCTCATGGTTATTGTGGAGGGGTGCGGCATGTGGAGTGACGTCACCCGCTCATGGTTATTGGGGAGGGGTGCGGCACGTGGAGTGACGTCACCCGCTCATGGTTATTGGGGAGGGGTGCGGCATGTGGAGTGACGTCACCCCCTCATGGTTATTGGGGAGGGGTGCGGCACGTGGAGTGATGTCACCCGCTCATGGTTATTGGGGAGGGGTGCGGCATGTGGAGTGACGTCACCCCCTCATGGTTATTGGGGAGGGGTGCGGCATGTGGAGTGACGTCACCCGCTAATGGTTATTGGGGAGGGGTGCGGCACGTGGAGTGACGTCACCCGCTAATGGTTATTGGGGAGGGGTGCGGCATGTGGAGTGATGTCACCCGCTCATGGTTATTGGGGAGGGGTGCGGCACGTGGAGTGATGTCACCCCCTCATGGTTATTGGGGAGGGGTGCGGCATGTGGAGTGACGTCACCCGCTAATGGTTATTGGGGAGGGGTGCAGCATGTGGAGTGACGTCACCCGCTAATGGTTATTGGGGAGGGGTGCGGCACGTGGAGTGATGTCACCCCCTCATGGTTATTGGGGAGGGGTGCGGCATGTGGAGTGACGTCACCCGCTAATGGTTATTGGGGAGGGGTGCGGCACGTGGAGTGATGTCACCCCCTCATGGTTATTGGGGAGGGGTGCGGCATGTGGAGTGACGTCACCCGCTAATGGTTATTGGGGAGGGGTGCAGCATGTGGAGTGACGTCACCCCCTCATGGTTATTGGGGAGGGGTGCGGCATGTGGAGTGACGTCACCCCCTCATGGTTATTGGGGAGGGGTGCGGCATGTGGAGTGACGTCACCCGCTAATGGTTATTGGGGAGGGGTGCAGCATGTGGAGTGACGTCACCCGCTAATGGTTATTGGGGAGGGGTGCGGCATGTGGAGTGACGTCACCCCCTCATGGTTATTGGGGAGGGGTGCGGCACGTGGAGTGACGTCACCCGCTCATGGTTATTGGGGAGGGGTGCGGCATGTGGAGTGACGTCACCCGCTCATGGTTATTGGGGAGGGGTGCGGCACGTGAGGTGACGTCACCCCCTCGTGGTTATTGGGGAGGGGTGCGGCATGTGGAGTGACGTCACCCGCTCATGGTTATTGGGGAGGGGTGCGGCATGTGGAGTGACGTCACCCCCTCATGGTTATTGGGGAGGGGTGCGGCATGTGGAGTGACGTCACCCGCTAATGGTTATTGGGGAGGGGTGCAGCATGTGGAGTGACGTCACCCCCTCATGGTTATTGGGGAGGGGTGCGGCACGTGGAGTGACGTCACCCCCTCATGGTTATTGGGGAGGGGTGCGGCATGTGGAGTGACGTCACCCGCTAATGGTTATTGGGGAGGGGTGCGGCATGTGGAGTGACGTCACCTGATAATGGTTATTGGGGAGGGGTGCGGCATGTGGAGTGACGTCACCCCCTCATGGTTATTGGGGAGGGGTGCAGCATGTGGAGTGACGTCACCCGCTCATGATTATTAATGAGGGGGGGTTGCCCCATGTGGAGTGACGTCACCCCCTCATGCTTATTGGGGAGGGGTGCGGCATGTGGAGTGACGTCACCCCCTCGTGGTTATTGGGGAGGGGTGCGGCATGTGCAGTGACGTCACCCGCTCATGGTTATTGTGGAGGGGTGCAGCATGTGGAGTGACGTCACCCGCTCATGATTATTAATGAGGGGGGGTTGCCCCATGTGGAGTGACGTCACCCGCTAATGGTTATTGGGGAGGGGTGCGGCATGTGGAGTGACGTCACCCGCTAATGGTTATTGGGGAGGGGTGCGGCATGTGGAGTGACGTCACCCGCTAATGGTTATTGGGGAGAGGTGCGGCATGTGGAGTGACGTCACCCGCTAATGGTTATTGGGGAGGGGTGCGGCATGTGGAGTGACGTCACCCGCTAATGGTTATTGGGGAGGGGTGCGGCATGTGCAGTGACGTCACCCGCTAACGGTTATTGGGGAGGGGGGCGGCATGTGGAGTGACGTCACCCGCTAATGGTTATTGGGGAGGGGTGCGGCATGTGCAGTGACGTCACCCGCTAACGGTTATTGGGGAGGGGTGCGGCATGAGGAGTGCGCGGCCTTCTTGTGCGTCAGTGTAAATTTCCACGTGGGGCATGAATATTAATGAAGGGGGGGGGGGGCCTCTTTTGCAGTGACGTCACGCACGGATGTAGCACTGTGCTGCCTAGATTTATTTTTTACCATCACTATCTGTCAAGTAACATCATATTTTAAGCGACTTTGGGTAATAAATTATTAAATTCAGCTCGACCTTCCTCTGCGTTAGTGTAAAAATCCACCCACTCATGAATATTAATGAGGGTGGTTGGGCCTCATGTGGAGTGACGTCACGCGAGGGGGTGGGCCTCATGTGGAGTGACGTCACGCGAGGGTGTGGGCCTCATGTGGAGTGACGTCACGCGCGGGACGGACAGACATTTCTGGGTGATTATAGTAGGTAATTAATGTGTGGTGTAGTGGGATGCACTTGGCATGAATGGTGCTGTATGAATTTCAATGATTATCATCGTGATCATTCTGAGCCAGCTTCTATTGCACGGTGTACAGAACAAGAGGGTTGGTGGCTGTGGGCTGTGGCTCCCTCTCACGTTGAGCAGTTCACACGAAAGGTCTGCTTCATCCTACACGGCCCCTCTGGGGTTTGGGTCTTTACAGTCGAGCGAGCGAGCGAAGCGCTTGTAGGCACGTCAGGAATTCAGGTGCAGTCAGAGAGTGGGTTGGTGAGTAGTCGAGCGAGTGAGCGGGTGGGTGAGTGGGTGGGTGATTTAGCGGGCGGGTGAGTGGGTCGGTGAGTGGGTGGGTGATTGAGCGGGCGGGTGAGTGGATGGGTGATTTAGCGGGCGGGTGAGTGGGTCGGTGAGCGGGTGGGTGATTGAGTGGGCGGGTGAGTGGGTCGGTGAGCGGGTGGGTGATTGAGTGGGTGGGTGATTGAGTGGGCGGGTGAGTGGGTCGGTGAGTGGGTGGGCGGGTGAGTGGGTCTGTGATTGAGTGGGCGGGTGAGTGGGTCGGTGAGTGGGTGGGTGATTGAGTGGGCGGGTGAGTGGGTCGGTGAGCGGGTGGGTGATTGAGTGGGCGGGTGAGTGGGTCGGTGAGTGGGTGGGTGATTGAGTGGGCGGGTGAGTGGGTCGGTGAGTGGGTGGGTGATTGAGTGGGCGGGTGAGTGGGTCGGTGAGTGGGTGGGTGATTGAGCGGGCGGGTGAGTGGGTGGGTGATTTAGCGGGCGGGTGAGTGGGTCGGTGAGTGGGTGGGTGATTGAGTGGGCGGGTGAGTGGGTCGGTGAGCGGGTGGGTGATTGAGTGGGCGGGTGAGTGGGTCGGTGAGCGGGTGGGTGATTGAGTGGGTGGGTGATTGAGTGGGCGGGTGAGTGGGTCGGTGAGTGGGTGGGCGGGTGAGTGGGTCTGTGAGCGGGTGGGTGATTGAGTGGGCGGGTGAGTGGGTCGGTGAGCGGGTGGGTGATTGAGTGGGGCGGGTGAGCATGTGAGCGAGTGAGTGATAGAGCGGGCGAGCGAGCGAGTGAACAGGTTGTGGCTGTGTCAGAAAACGCAGGCAACGGTCGAATCTGTCGCAAGTCAAGTGCAAGAACATATTTGTTCACATCAGCCGATGCTCGAGGTGGAAAACGATCGGCCGGTGGTTTTTATTTTAGTCGCAATCCAGAGCTGTCACTGCGAAGGGCCCCCGGGGCCGCGGTTGCGTGCCGAGCGGCGTGCCGATCGGCGTGCCGATCGGCGTGGCAGAGACGTTTGTGAAAGTGCTTTAACGAGTGACGGCGCCGCTCGGCAGATTCGTTCCTGGAGCGGCGCAGGGAGAACATGGAGCGAGGGGAGGCGGAGCTGCAGCGGAGGCGGGAGGCGCTTCGCGAAGCGCAGCGCAAGGAGGAGCAGGAGGAGATCGCTCGGCAGACGGTGAGGGACTGTGGTGTCGTTTTCTTGGTTCTTTCGGTAAAGTCACGTAGAAGGAAAATAATAAAATAATAAAAATAAAACATAATAAAATAATTCTCACGACGTTTCGGCCACAACGCAAGCAGCCGTCCTCAGGTGGAGAGTCTGAATGTCAGACTCTGTCTTCTCGACAGACCTGTTCTCCACCTGAAGACGGCTGCTTGCGTTGTGGCCGAAACGTCGTGAGAATTATTTTATTATGTTTTATTTTTATTATTTTATTATTTTCCTTCTACGTGACTTTACCGAAAGAACCAAGAAGTTGAATCCCTGCAGTCACGAAAAAAGCTTTAAATCGAAATTTAATGTGGTGTCGTTGTTGTTGTTGCCTTGGTGTGGTCTGGCACTGTTCCTGCCGTTGTTTTTAATGCCTCTCCCAAGCTTGGGAATTGATGTACTTGCGCAGTTATAATTTATTTATTTAAGGGCCACCTCGTGGCGAGATGTTATCGCCCTCGCCTGGTATGCAGGAGGTTGTGGGTTCAATCCCGAACCAGACACCTGCTGCTTTATATTTGGAGTCTCTCTCCCTGTGTTCGCGTGGATTTTTTTCTGCGGTTTGTCCTTCGACATTTACAAACCTGCGTTTCGTGTATTTAGATTATTTAGCTGCTGTAAATTTCCACATGATAAGCCGCAACTTAGTTGAGCAATCATTTCTCGCCAGGTCGCTTCTAAACACATTCCTCCTGCAGAGGGAGCTGGTAGGAACGTTGTGTTGCTCGGTCAATGGCCTGCAGGGTCAACGGCGGCGTGGTGTATTCCGCAAATATGCCCGACTGTGAGGGCGGGCACAAGCCGGCGTGAGCAGGTTAAACGTTGAGTTTTATAAGGGCACCACGGGGTGACCAGCCCCTCCCCACCCAGCCCCACCCCTCCCTCCCCCCACCCTCCACACCCAGCCCCTCCCCACCCTCCCCTCCCCACCCAGCCCCTCCCCACCCAGCCCCTCCCCACCCTCCCCTCCCCACCCAGCCCCTCCCCACCCTCCCCACCCAGCCCCTCCCCACCCTCCCCGACCCACCCGGCCCCTCCCCACCCTCCCCACCTTCTCCTCTCCACCCAGCCCCACCCCTCCCATTTTTGGATGCACGACGGACGGACACAATAATCCCCTGTGGGCTGGTGGAACCAGGTGGTTCCTACCAGTAAAAAGTAGCTAATAGCTCATCGGGGCTTACCTGGTAAAATAAACATCGTTTATGAAATAAACATAGTTTCTTTTTAGTTCTACATATTTTTTTTCTATCGGGATTTGTTTACCTTTCCTATACTTTGCACTCGTCTCGTGTTTTTGTGTTGTTATTGTGACTGTATCACCCGCCGCTACTGGACATCTGTGAAGAAAGAGCTTCATAGCTCATCGGATTCTCGCAGTAAAAATAAATATCCTGATTCTGATCAGCACGGTGACGGCGATGAGTCTGATGGTCGTGATGACGATGATGAAGGGAATGATGATGACGGTGATGAAGACAATGACGATGATGACGACAATGATGAAGACGATGACGATGATGACGGTGGCGATTCCGCATGCCCCGTCCGTCCCTGTGTGCCAGGCCGCGCGCAGGCAGCAGCTGGAGGGACAGCGGGAGGGCTCGCGGGCCGAGGTGCAGGCGCTGCGGCAGCACCGTGACGTCCTCGCCGCCCGGCTGCTGGCGCTCGTGAGTGACGCTCGGCCCCCCGGCGCGCGCCGGACAAACACACCGGTCCACCGGGGCCGCTCGGGAGATTTGAAGGAGAGAGAAAGGGACGCGGGGAATTTTCAAACATTTTCACATCATCAAGGGCGCAGTATTGCAACTACTTCTTCTTGGTTCTTTCGGTAAAGTCACGTAGAAGGGAAGTAATACAATAATAAAAATGAAACTTAATAAAATAATTCTCACGACGTTTCGGCCACAACGCAAGCAGCCATCCTCAGGTGAAGACCAGGTCTGTCGGGGAGACAGCGTCTGAATGAATTATTTTATTATGTTATATTTTTATTATTTTATTACTTCCATTCTACGTGACTTTACCGAAAGAACCAAGAAGATGAATCCCTGCAGTCACGAAAGCTTTAAATCGAAAAATTACACTACTTGTCGGTTCGGGCCAAGTGACGGGGCGCCTGGTATGCGGGAGGCCGTGGGTTGGTTCCCGACCCTGACGCCTGTAATTATGGAGTGTCTCTCTCTCTCTCCCATGGTCGTGTGGATTTTTCTCCGGGTCCTCTGGTTGTCCCCTCCACATTTAGAATAAACGTCACACGTTTAGAGTATTTGCCTGCTATACATTTCCACGTGATAAGCCACTTTGTTGAGCTATTACACTGGTCAACACACTTTTTCTGGCATAAGGTATTCCAACGGTATTAAGGTAATTTTGGGGTGCTGATTCCAAATCAGTTTTTGTCTATCACATCAGGTTTTTGAGATATCAAATATTGCATTTTCAATAAAAACTGCAGAAGAAAAATATTAAATAAATGTGGATATCTACATAAAATGATATTATGAACACACTATCCTAAAAATACAGCACCATATTTTAACACTAAAGCAGTCACTGGCTCGCAACAACTTGCAATCATAAGTGACAGAGTTAATTTCGGGTAAAATCAATGAAAATGGGGTATGCCGATAGCATAAAAGCGAGATGTGATAGAGCAAATCTGAGATCAGATTTGGAATCAGCACCCTGAAATTAGTCTAGAACAGCTGCAAAAGTCCAGGCCAGAAAAAAATGTTTTTTTTGTTGTTGACCAGTGTTATAGCCCTTTTTCAGAAGCCACCTGGCCACAAATGAATGCTCAGTGAAGTGGCTCATCACGTCGAAATCTATAGCAGCCAAATACTTTAAACGCACGTTGATTATACGCAGGTTTAGGGGTCGGGATCGAACCCACGAGCTCCCGTATGCGGGGAGGGGAATCGTACCCAGGGGCTTGTTGCCGTTTGATCCGCTCTAGCAATACACGGCACGTGAGCGGATGTAACAGGAGGCAGACGTCGTCTTGTGTAACTCCCTCGTAGCTCCCGTGACCCACGCCTGCTGCTGCCGCTGTGTCCGCCCCCCCCAACCGCCCCGCCAGGCTCAGTCCCGCCAGGAGGCGCAGGCGGGCGCGGCGGACGCGAGGCAGAGCGCGGCGGAGTGCCGCTCGCGGTTGGACGCGCTCAACGAGCGAGCGGGCCGGCTCCACGCCGAGTCGCGCCGTCTGGAGGCCCAGGTGGGCGCCGCACAGAGCTCCCTGGAGGCGCTGAGGGCACAACGCGCGCAGCTGGAGGGGCGCCTGCAACGCGGAGCCCGCGGCGGTGCGTACGCGCGCTTGCTTGCCTCCCCTAGGTTGACTCGGCCTCGAATGAGTACCTGGTGCGGGCGTGTAACAACATTGCCGCTGGGGAGACAAAGGCGGCTGGGGGTGGTGCTGGCCACCCACCCCCTCGTGCGCCGTGCCAGCCTTCATAGGTGCTCGCTAACAGCACTTGCCTCAAAATGTCTTTTCAGACTATATGGGGATCTTTGGTTTTGGGATGCATATACCAGTCATCTCAATGAACCCATACCACCTGGGTTTGTCCCGAGAACCTTAGACAGTCCACGTGGGAGCCCTCTATCTGCACCTAGCCTGGCACACGCGCCACGGCGACATCGCCACCACTTGGCCAACGGCAGCGGTTGTTGTTGTTGTTGTGTACATGGCGTGTGCTGCTTGCATGACCACGCGGCGGTGACGCGGTGGTGGTGACGCGGCGGTGGTGACGCGGCGGTGGTGACGCGGCGGTAGTGACGGGGTTGTGGTGGTGATGCGGTGGTGGTGACGCGGCGGTGGTGACGCGGCGGTGGTGACGCGGCGGTGGTGACGGGGCGGTGGTGACGGGGTTGTGGTGGTGATGCGGTGGTGGTGACACGGCGGTGGTGACGCGGCGGTGGTGACGGGGCGGTGGTGACGGGGCGGTGGTGACGGGGTTGTGGTGGTGACGCGGCGGTGGTGACGCGGCGGTGGTGACGCGGCGGTGGTGACGCGGCGGTGGTGACGGGGTTGTGGTGGTGATGCGGTGGTGGTGACGCAGTGGTGGTGACGCGGTGGTGGTGACGGGGTTGTGGTGGTGATGCGGTGGTGGTGACGGAGTGGTGGTGACGCGGTGGTGGTGACGGGGTTGTGTCGCGGGCCAGGCGGAGGCCTGGACTCGCTGGCAGCCGAGGTCCATTGCAGGAGGGCGGCCGTGCAGAGTCTGCGCGAGAAGGTGGAAGCCATCGAGCTTCAGATCCAGCAGACGCAAGCTCAGCGGCAGGTGCGTGCGGCGTGCGAGGTGTGCGTGCGACGTGTGCGGCGTGCGAGGTGTGCGTGCGAGGTGTGCGTGCGAGGTGTGCGTGCGAGGTGTGCGTGCGACGTGTGCGTGCGACGTGTGCGTGCGACGTGTGCGTGCGACGTGTGCGTGCGACGTGTGCGTGCGACGTGTGCGTGCGACGTGTGCATGCGACGTGTGCGGCGTGCGTGCGTGCGAGGTGTGCGTACGGCGTGCGAGGTGTGCGTCCGTACGAGCGGTAGTGAACCAGTTAGCACGCTACGCCACGAACTCGGCCACCCAAGTTGCTCGCTAACAGCCCTTGCCCCAGCCGTCTGTTAAATACTATATGGGGGATCTTTGTCTTTGTGTATGGGTTTATATGTTCTCCCCATGTTCTGTGGGTTCTCTGATTTCCTTCTATAAGCTAACAAAACAACCATACACACAGTGGCAGCATCGCTCCCTCCTGCAAATAATTGGCCGAACACTCCTGGATAAAGAGCCTTGAGACTCTGTGAGGCTTTGCGGGGAAAACACGAGCAGTTTAAAAATAAAATCGGGTCATCGCACATCCAAGTGATGTCCAGGATGAACCCCGCTTAGCTCTGACGAGATCGAGCTCAGTGTGGGGGCGATGCGATCGTAGCGCCAAGCACGGACACCGATCATCGTGTTGCGTGGCTGCTAAGAGCCTGATATTGCCACCTCGCTGGTATTAATATTCCTTAGAGCAGCGGCAGCGGCGGCGATGGCAGCAGCAGCTGCCAGTCCTCTAAGCGCTGTGATCCATCTGCTGACACAAAACTTACCTGGATGGATTTAGCCCCGTGATCTCATGCGAACATTACTGTACCTCCGATTAGCACGGTTGGCTACGTGCGGTGGGAAAGCAGTTCAACGTACTTGCACACAGACTTAGAGTACTACCGCCATCTATTGGTAGAAGTGATTTTTTGTATGAATTCTAATCATTTAAACTCTCATTATTTGCCATCAGCCATAACGAGAATTGCTCTCTGCTGATGGCGTCGGTGTCTGTTCCGAGACCCGCGGTAACACGAACTGTGCCCCGGGGGGTGGACAATCCCCGCGTCTCCTCTCGGTACCCCGTCCCCCTTTCCCACGTCCCCTTCACGTTGTCCACCTGCACAGGACCCGCCGTCGGCAGCCACCGCCACGACCGCCAGCGCCAGCTCCAGCGCCAGCTCCCGCGCTGGCTCCGCTGGCCACGCAGGCTCCGCCCCGGCGTTCCAGCCCCCCGTCGCCATCGTCCCTCCCTCCCTCGCGCCGACGCCGAGCAACGCGAGCGGCGCTATCTCCTCCTCATCCTCCTTCTCCGAGCAGCAGTGGCAGAAGCAGCAGCAGCAGCCGCAGGAGCAAGGCGGGGCGTGCGTGGCAGCGTGCGACGCGGAGGAGTGGGGAGGCGGCGGTGGGGGAGGTGGCGCCTCCCAGCCCGACGTGGGCTGGGCACGGTTCCCGGAGTTCGGAGACCCCCGCCCGGCCCAGCCCAGAGCCGGGGTCGCCAGGAGCAGAGGCTCCCAGTCGGAGCGGCGCACGGGGCCGCACGGGGGTACCGGCTCCAACAGCTTGTGAGAAGAGACGCACGCACGCACCTACCATCGCCGGCGGCACTGTTGATCACAAGCAGCTTGCGAGGAGAGACGCACGCACGCACCTACCATCGCCGGCGGCACTGTTGATCACAAGCAGCTTGCGAGAGACGCACGCAGCTACCATCGCCAGTGGCACTATTATCACAAGCAGCTTGCAAGAAGAGACGCACGCACGCACCTACTCGCACGTGCAGAGACATCGCCAGCGGCACTGTTGATCACAAGCAGGCCAGCGGCACTGCTGTCACACCAACGCCATCGCCGCCGCCGCCCGTGTACCGGTGGCAGTGTTGGCACATTGGCAGGGGACAAGTTCTGCATCGCGCTCTCGCCGTTACCCCATGATCTCGCTAGCGGCGGCACGCAAAACTTCCCCCGGCTTTTTTTTTTTCTTTCTAGATTTTAAGCTTTCGTGACTGCAAGGATTCATACTCTTAGGTTTTTTCGGTAAAGTCACGTAGGTAAAAAATGAACCTAAATAATAGAAATAATAATAGAAATAATAATAGAAATAAAATAAAAATCACGACGTTTCGGAGGCAACACAAGTCTCCGTCATCAGGTGGGACCGTCACAGCCAGATTTACTGTCTCACTTATTTAGCTGTGACGGTCCCACCTGAAGACGGAGACTTGTGTTGCCTCCGAAACGTCGTGATTTAAATTTCATTTCTATTATTATTTCTATTATTATTTTATATTTTTATTTTTTTACCTACGTGACTTTACCGAAAAAACCTAAGAGTGTGAGTATCCCCCGGCTTCACCGCCGTCACATGACGAACGTCACTCTCGTACGGCAGGGTGGGTGAGCGAGCGCCCGCCCTCTACCGTGTAGACCGATGGTCACTTGAGGTCGAAGAAGGGATCTTGGAGGTAGCTCTGCAACATCCTCTTCTGCGGGCCATCGACATGACGACACGATGGGTCGCGCTGCTGCTCTGCGAGATTTCCGAGTGGACTACTCCGACTCGGAGCGTCGATCGCGACACAAATTCACGAGAACAGACGAGACGACGGACGGCACTTTGTCGTGCGCTCCTTGTGTGCCACGTCCGTTGTTGTTTGTTGTTCTCAGTCTGGAGCGCAACATCCCGAGTTTCCCCGCGGTGGACGGGTCCCACGGGAACGATGGGAAACCCAGCGCAGCCTCGGCCTTCACTCCGCAGGCCCCCTCGGCCTCCGCCTACTGCCCGGTGAGAGGACAGACACGGTCCGGCCCGGCCGGCTCGCGCGCTAACTCGCGCTAACGCGCGCTAACTCGCGCTAGCTCGCGCTAACTCGCGCTAGCTCGCGCTAACTCGCGCTAGCTCGCGCTAACTCGCGCTAGCTCGCGCTAACTCGCGCTAGCTCGCGCTAACTCGCGATAACTCGCGCTACCTCGCGCTAACTCGCGCTAACTCGCGCTAACTCGCGCTAACTCGCGCTAACTCGCGCTAACTCGCGATAACTCGCGCTACCTCGCGCTAACTCGCGCTAACTCGCGCTACCTCGCGCTAACGCGCGCTAACTCGCGATAACTCGCGCTAACTCGCGATAACTCGCGCTAACTCGCGCTAACTCGCGCTAACTCGCGATAACTCGCGCTACCTCGCGCTAACTCGCGCTAACTCGCGATAACTCGCGCTAACTCGCGCTAACTCGCGCTACCTCGCGCTACCTCGCGCTAACGCGCGCTAACTCGCGCTAACTCGCGCTAACTCGCGCTAACTCGCGCTAACTTGCGCTAACTCGCACTAACTCGCGCTAACTCGCACTAACTCGCGATTCGGCGTTCGACGCGAATTTGTGTTCGTGCCATACTTTCAGATTCTCATTCTCACATCACGCTGCTGCTGTTTTTGTTTGCTTGGATTTCCGTTTTTCTCCATCGCTGTACTTTTATTTTGTATTTGTCTTGCTGCTGTCGTTTCGGTGACGACGCAGGTCACTCGTGCAAATGACAACATCCTGGTCTCTTCAGTGCTGGTGTTGGTGGTGATTGTGGTGATTGTGATGGTTGTGATGGTTGTGATGGTGATGGTTGTGATGGTGGTGATGGCGGTTGTAATAGTGGTGGTGATGATTGTGATGATAGTCATCTTGGTGGAAATTATAATGGCGATGGTGACTGTGTTGGTTGCGACGCTGTATTTGGCGGTGGTGTGGCTGTCATGGTGGTGGTTGTCGTGGCGATTAACGGTGACCGCTACTCCCCTAACACCACCGGTGCTCTCTCTCCATCCCTGCCCGTCTCTCCCGCGCGTGCCCAGCTGGGCTCGTGCGTGCGCGCCGTGGCGCTCTGCCGATTCCAGGCGGTGCAGCCCAACCACCTGGCGTTCTGCACGGGAGACGTCATCTCGGTGCGCGAGCGCCAGGACCTGTGGTGGCTGGGCGAGGTGGCAGGCCGCTCGGGGTGGTTCCCCAAGTCGTACGTGCGCGTCACGGACGGGGACGCGGCCGCCGTGCCGCCACCGCTCCCGCCGCCGCTCCCGCTCCTCGCCAACGGAGCCCGGTGGGTGTGAAGGCGGTGCGACTGCACCGCGGGGACGGTGGAGGGTGGGGGCGGGGTGGTCGGTGCCACGGTGTGTAGAGACTCGCGTAGAGACCCGTAGCTCTTACATAGAGATGCACAGAGTTATACGTAGGCCGTAGACTCGCATACAGACCCATAGAGGCCATAGACTCGGAGAGACCCATACACTTGCAAAGAGAACCATAGAATTGAACTGTAGACTCACGTAGAGATCCGTAGCTCTTACATAGAGATGCACAGAGTTATACGTAGGCCGTAGACTCGCATACAGACCCATAGAGGCCATAGACTCAAGAGAGACCCATACACTTGCAAAGATAAACCATAGACTTGAACTGTAGACTCACGTAGAGACCCGTAGCTCTTACATAGAGATGCAGAGTTATACGTAGGCCGTAGACTCGCATACAGACCCATAGAGGCCATAGACTCGGAGAGGCCCATACACTTGCAAAGAGAACCATAGACTTGAACTGTAGACTCGCATAGAGATCCGTAGACTTACATATAGACCCACAGATCCACCAGTTGCATAGTATGTCTGGATGTCTTTTTAGCTATGGGAGGAAACTGTGCAGGGGGAGAACGCACGAACGCCACGCAACAAGGCACCCAAGTTGGGGATTGAACCCAGGCCCTTCTCGCTGTGAGGCAGAGCCATTAGCACTGCGCCAACTGCTGCCCCATGTCGTGTTGGGATTCGAGTTTATTTGTGTGCGTGTGTGTTTTCACATCTGCCAGTCATCTAAGCCAGTCAACCCATGGCACCTGGGTCCCGTGACCTCCTGCCATCGGACGTTCGATACTTCACGTGGCCTTAAAGTGCACCTAGCCTGGCACAAGCGCCGTGGTGACGTTACCGCCACTGTTGTTGTTTCACATCCCTCTGTAAATCCACTGCGAGATGAACTTGCATAGTTACGCTTCGGTCATCGTTAGAGCCGGGGGGAATTTTTGGCAAAGATAATTCCTCACCAAAGATGAAGAAGTACGCAAGGAAGCATGGAAGGAGGTGTGCGTGCTTGGACGGCCGGTGGGTCGAGACTGGCGACGGAACAGCAGGCAGAGGAAGGAAATGCAGCGCTCCGAGAGGCGACGTCCGCCGCGGAGATGGAGCAACTAAATCGTCGCGCGCGCGCACGCCGACAGCGACGTGGATTTGCTGCTTCGCGACGCCGTGGGAGCTGGGAGATGGATGTGGGTTGGCGGCCACTGGACCCGGAGAGGTGGCGACGGCTTGCTTTGGGAAACCGTCTTCGTTGTCGTCGAGCAGTGGAAAGCCTGTGGCCCCCGCCCGCACCGCCCCGCTAACATCGCTAACATCGCCGCGTTGTGTCCCCCCCCTCCCCAGGAGCCAGAGGGGGACGTGCGCGGCGAGCGAGGAGGAGGTCCGGCGGGAGGGCAGAGAGGCTGCAGTGCCGTCAGGTGACCACCACCACCACAACCACCACCACCACAACCACCACAACCACAACAACCACCACCACCACCACAACCACCACCACCACAACCACCGCCACCACCACCACAACCACCACTACAACCACCACCACCACCACGACAACCACCACCACCACGACAACCACCACAACCACCACCACCAAAACCACCACCACCACAACCACCACCACTAGCACCCAGGCACTCCATAACAAACCAACCACTTGACCCGTCCGATTAGCGCGCTGCGCTTCGAACCCGGCCAATTACTCGCTCACGACCACTAACAGTGGTGAGCATTTAACCTGTCCTAGGCCTCCCCGTGGTCGACTCGGCCTTAAACGGGAACCTGGTGCGGCGTGTCAACATCAACTCTGCGAGACGGTTTCTGTGGCCAATTTGATGATTCTTTAAAGATTTTGTGAGGTCAGTTAATAAGATGTTAACTACCTCGCCTGGTATGCAGGAGGTCATGGGTTCCACCCCGACTTTGACGCCTGCTGTATATTTGGAGTTTGCGTGTCTCTCTCCCAGTGTGGATTTTTCTGAGGGTTTTTCCCTCCACATTTAGAATCAACATCACGCGTTTCAAGTATTTGGCTGCTATAAATTCCCACACAAGCCACGTCGTTGAGCTATGTAGCTCAGTCGGCCTTACCTGACAAGATAAAAATCGATTAGTTTAATACTTTGGCAAAGTCTTTGTCACAAGACTCCCCCACCACCCAACGCAGCCAAACAGCCGAGCTGAGTGACAACCCTCACAACAAGGGTGAGTCATTCAACATTCAGCCGACTATAGTAATAGGTTTTTACCCTTTCAACTGGTACAAAACTGACACCTTTATACAAGGGATCATTTGCAATAACCACAACACAAGCAGTCAAAATGCAAACAAAACGAAACAACTCTGATAATGATAAGCACTGTCCTTAAAGTTGATTGGTCCACACCCGAGACAGCTTTTCTTAGAGCCTAGTCTCCATTGGTGTTGGACCAGATGACGCCAAAATGCGTACAACTTAAAAACAGCGCACTATCAGAGTATTGAGAGCTCGGGGTAAGCATTAACACTATGAGACCTCCTTTACCAGTGGAAAAATATAGTAATAGGTTTTTATTACTATATTGGCGTCATCTGGTCCAACACCAATGGAGACTAGGCTCTAAGAAAAGTTGTCTCGGGTGTGGACCAATCAACTTCAAGGACAATGCATATCATTATCATTATCAGAGTTGCTTCTTTTTGTTTGCATTTTGACTGCTTGTGTTGTGGTTATTGCAAACATGATCCCTTGTATAAAGGTGTCAGTTTTGTACCAGTTGAAAGGGTAAAAACCTATTACTATATTTTGCCACTGGTAAAGGAGATGTCTCATGGTGTTAATTCAGCCGATTGTTGTTGACGACATGGACCGGGCTTGGGTTGTGGCGAGGAGGGCGACGACGGCCGATGGATCGCAGCGAATCCCCGGGGAGGGAATCGAATCTGTGGTGGAGGCTGAATCGGTTTTGGTACCCCCCCCCCCCCCCCCCCCCCCCCCCGAGTAAATCGAGATTTTTTTAATCCTTTATATTAAGTTTGCTTGCTTAGGACCGTGCAAATCTTTCGGTCGTTTTTTAACCCACTTCCCGTGATCCAATCGAGCTGACATTTTCCACACAGACTCGTTGTGCGTGACAATTAATGTTCGTGACAATTTTTTTTCCTAAATTTTACACTTTATAGGACAAAAATATTATATTTAATTACCAATTGCTTAATGGTGCAATGCAATCATCTGACCCATAGGTGGCAGCCATCTCAAGCCAGAGGACGAGAGGACTCTTGCCGCCACGCATATAAAGGATTTATAGTGAAAAACTTTGTTTTTACGGGTTATACTTATTTTGTCTCAATTTGTCCAGATTCGTGGAACCATTCCAAGTCGCGGCCGTACACGAGCATCCTGAGGAGAGGTAACGGCCGCCTCAACCTGTGCCCCCCCCGCCCCGGCCGCTGGCCTCCCCCGATTTTGATGTCACCTCCCGGATTCCGCCATGACTCTGTGTGTGTGTCGCGGAGAATTGGCGGCGGCCCTGGCACTTCCGCGGCGCTGTGAGGCAGCGCCGCCGGGACCACACGGCCCCACGGAACCACGTTCAACGTGGACAGATTCCAGCCCCGAGATCTAAAAGTCTCAAGTTGCATCGTCGTGTGGAGAACATCGGGTGGGAACGTACTGCCCCCCCACCCACTGTGTGGACCAGAGGTCAATTGAAGGCATCCCAGCGGTAGTTCCGTGATGTCCGCTTCCGTGGGCCGTTGTCTAATGACAGGAGTTCAGAACGGGTGCTCCATCTCATTACGCCACGCCGGTGTTGGCACAATCGGGATGAGATTGTCGAAAACATTAAATGTGCCGTTGAGCGTTTTGTTTTGGGCTCGGCTGATGACGATTTTGTGTTTCAGTCTCCAAGCCAAAGGCCCCTGCTCCTCCAGTCCACAGACATGAGAGTACGTCCACACGCGCACACATGTGTACACACGTCCACGCGCACACACGTACACACACGTCCACACATGCACACGCGCACACGTCCACGCGCACACACGCAAAGACAAAAGTCTACCGTGTAGCCTTAGCAAGTGCTGTGAGCGAGCACCTTAGAAGGTCGGCACTACGCACGAGGGGGCTGGCAGCCAGCACCACGCCCAACCGCCTTTGTCTCCCCAGTGGTGATGTTTACACACCGCACCAGGTACTCATTCGAGGCTGAGTCGACCTAGGGGAGGCCAAGGACCGGTTCAGATACTCGTCACTGGTGATGGCCGTGAGCGGGAATTGAATTACTCAATTGGGGATCACACACACGAAGCAAACGGCAACATCGCCCACGACTGCAAAAACTTGGCAGGACACTCCTAAAAAAGTCTTCAGACTCAGTGAGGCCTTCCTTTTTGATCTACACCGTTGCCTCTGCTGGCTTCTGTGTCTCTCTGCAGAGTGCGCCGCGCTGTTTGACTACACGAGCAAAGAGGCCGGCGATTTGTCCTTCCTGAAGGGCGACATCATCACGCTGGTCAGTAAGAACGACAGGGATTGGTGGACGGGGACACTCAGCGGCAAGACGGGTCTCTTCCCGAGCAATCACGTGGAGGTGCTGACCACCAAGGTGGGTGTGTGTAGCAGAGGTGGGACAAAGTCATTGTTATGCAAGTCCAAGTCGAGTCTGAAGTCATCAAATTCATGACTCGAGTCTGACTCGAGTCCAAGTCACATGACTCGAGTCCACACCTCTGGTGTGTAGGGTGGTGGCGTGGGGGCAGCGTGTTTGGGGGGGAAACGATTCTCTCGACTCTCTGGTCCATACCCGGTCAAAACAAACACAACTCCATGGGGCAGTGGGGGGGGGCTACTCCCCTTCATTCTTCTGTCCCCTTCGCGTGGTTCTGCCGCGCCGGAATGGATGTTTGCGTTTGTTTTTTGTTTGTTCTAGATTTGAAGCTTTCGTGACTGCAAGGATTCATATTCTTAGGTTTTTTCGGTAAAGTCACGTAGGTAAAAAATTTAAATTAATAAAAATAAAATAAAAATCACGACGTTTCGGAGGCAACACAAGCTTTAATTTTACATTTTTGTATGCCGTTGTTGGAACCCCTCGGTGTGGTATGCCAGACCCAATGTGCTGCTGTAAAAATGATCATAAAAAATATGCTCAACTCAAATCGTCATCACACCCTGGGCCCATCGTCGCTCACGCTGCCTCGTCCCCCTTTCCCTTCAGGCCGGCGAACCGTCGGCACCGTCGTCGGCACCGTCGTCGGCACCGGCGTCGGCACCGGCGTCTGCACCGGCGTGCCCCATCGGCAGCGCCGGTCGCGGCGCGGACACCACCGCGTCGCGGCCCGGGGGCCCGTCGGGCCGCAGCGTCGTGGCCCTCTACGACTACTGCGCGCAGAACTCGGACGAGCTCTCGTTCGTGCGCGGCCAGAGCATCGGCGTGACGCGGCAGGCCCACCCCGACTGGTGGGAGGGCGAGGCCGGCGGCTTGCACGGCCTCTTCCCCTCCAACTACGTCAGGGAGCTCCTCCCGCCCGAGTCGTCGCTCTGAGTCGCGATCGTCGCGGCCGCGCGCGGAGCCGTGTTTCGCACGCCCTGGAACCTGCGATCCGAGGGGACGCGGGGTTCCATTTCATCTGCCGGTCGGGCAGTTGTGAAGGAATGGCGTGAGTTTCTTAACCGGGGTGCGTCCTGCCCCCAACCACCCCGACCTTTGCCGATCCGGCAGTACGAATACCCGCACGGTAAAATTGGATCGGCAGGGTCTAGTGTGGGGCCGGATAAAATGTGGGCAAGCCCGCCTCCCCCTCCGACACGCCCCGGTCAACGTGGGAATCGATCAAATTGTACCCACGTGAGAGTTGCCTCCCGCACGACGGGCCTTCCCATCGGCCATCGACGCGCGCGGTCGCAGGGCGGCGCCCTTCTTACGCTTTCCTTCGGCGCCTCGCGAGGACTCGCGGCTTAGCGCACGGACGTCCGACCGGCCGTGTGCGTCTCTTGTCTGCCGCTCTCTCATTTATCTCTCTGCGGCCGAGTGGGCTGAAGCTCGGCGGGCCTCTCCCAAGGGCTGTCGTGCGCCGCTCTCAGTCATTGCGGCGTCTGCCACGAGTCTCAGGGGTGCACCGTGCGCCCCCCACCACCCTGCACGGGGGCAGGGTGACAGGTCATCTGGGTGACAGGGGTCACCTGGCTGACAGGGGTCACCTGGCTGACAGGGGTCACCTGGCTGACAGGGGTCACCCAGGTGACCCGCCGTAGGAGGTGTGGTGTTAAACGAAACCTACAGCCTTGCTTCGCTCCACTGCTGGAACCGGGTTACCCCGACTCCGTGGGGGTTATTTGGTCATCTTGGTTTGGCGACGGTTGGGGAAGCGTGGATATGGGAGCGTATAAGTACAGAACAAGAAAGGCTTTTTCTGCACTGCCCTGTTTGCCCACCACGTGGCCCAGCCCATAGTGGCTACGGTGCACGGTGGGTGCGGGTACGTGACCGTCTCAGGCTTTGAGGTCTGTTAAGGTCGGGCCCATTCCAGGTGACCTGCAAAAGGGGGAGAAACGCGTGCGTTGCAATGACTTTAATTTGCGTGCGTGTGTCGGGCAGTCTCAATGTTGTGACAGAAGGAACCAGGTACCTCCGATGGATGGTCAGTGGTGAGCTCTGTAATGACCTGTGATGTATGTTCACATCGCTGTTCTTATATATATATGTGTGTTATTTGTTAAACTCTTTGCATTCCTCGAGTTGGGAAATGCTGGTGAAATCAAAACAGAAATGTGGGGTAAGGGGTAGGTGGTAGATGAATGTGGGGAGTTGATGGGGGGGTGGGAGGCAGCTGAAACCGGCGCGGTGTGACCGGCAGTGAATAACACAAGAGACGCAGTAAAGCCGATTCAAAATATTTGCAGCGGGAATGAAATACTCGCACTAATGTAAAAACTAAAGTTATTGAACGTTAAATATTAATATAATAAACCTTTCCATCAAAAGCTTGTGCCCACAATTTATTTATCACTTTCGTTGCGTGTAAAAAAAAAAAGACAAGAAACATGTCTGGTGATCATGATTCACTCCACCAAATCCACCCTTGCAGAGACTGTGGGGGTGGGGGGGGAGCACAAGGTGGTGTGGTGGGGGTCCTCCAACCCATAGAGCGAGGGCCCCCCCCCCCCACAGAAACCCCGCAGGCTGCCTGGACACGGGGAGAACACGAGACTCGGCCCAGCAAAGGACTGTGGGTTCACGACGCTGCTGCTGCTGCTACTGCTGCTTGGACTGGGCTGTGTGAGAGACGGCTCCTTGCAAGAACTGCCGGAGACTAGCACTTGCCCCAGCAGCCAGCGAAGGCTACACAGGGGACCTTTGCCCGTGGCTTGGGAGAGTCCATCTCATCTCGCGACCAGCAGCAGGGATCGAGGAAGGCTTGGAACGGAGCGACTCCGTCAACGGGACGGACAGAGCCGCGTGGCGTTTTTGCGGTTGTGCCGGTGCTTCGTGTTGTTCGGCACGATGTCCGACGTTTCGCTCCGTGTGCTGGGGAGCTTTTCAGGAACGGATGATGAATGTGGTGCAGACCCAACATCGTTCCACGTGTGATGCGTGCTATGCAGAACAAGTGCCATAGGTTAATCCTGACGTCACATCCGACACGTCTCAAAGGCCCATACACCTCTCGCACGCCTCATAACGTCTCTCAAGAGTCCAGTAAGTCATGACGGCTCTGTCCATCACGTCACTCAAGTTCACAGTCCCATCGAGTCTCAGACGTGCAGCACGTCTCTCAAATGTTTTACCAGCACAGAAGTACATTACGTCCATCAAGAGTCCAGCATGCCATCAAGTCTCTCCCTGTTCGTCACATCTCTCAGCGTTCATCACAGCATTCAAACTGGTAGGAACCCACTGGTTCCACCAGCCCACAGGGGATTATTGTGTCCGTCCGTCGTGCAGGGAGGGGCTGGGTGGGGAGGGACGGGCTGGGTGGGGAGGGAGGGGCTGGGTGGGGAGGGTGGGGCTGGGTGGGGAGGAGCTGGTCACCCCGTGGTGCCCTTATAAAACTCAACATTTAACCTACTCACGCCGGCTTGTGCCCACCCTCAGTCGGACATATTTGTGGAATACACCACGCCGCCGTTGACCCTGGCCATTGACCGAGCAACCCAACGTTCCTACCAGCTCCCTCCGCAGGAATGTGTTAACATCTCTCCCTGTTCGTGACGCCTCTCAACAATCCAGCACGTCCCTGGCGTCACCAAGCGGCAGCGTCCCCCTCAAGCAAGCGCGGCGGCCTCGTCCCCTGCTCCCTCGGTACGCTCCGGCGCGCGGGGCAGCGCTGCGGGCACGGCGCAGGAGAAGTGGAGCACGTCGCTGGCGCGCAGCAGGGCGCTCTCCTGCACGCCCAGCGGGGTGCCGAGCGCCGACACGAGGAGGCTCAGCAGCTCGAGGTCGCAGGCGCGCAGCACCGCGGGGAGCCGCTCCGGGCGCGAGAAGAGGCGGAACCGCGCGGGCCCCCCGCACGCGGCGCCCAGCCCCAGCAGGAACCTCTCGCGCAGCTGGGCGCGGGCCGCCTGCTCCCGGCACACTAACGAGGAGTGAGCCGCTGAGGAGGAGGAGCAGGAGGTGCCCGTCTCGTGCGAAGAAGCGACGCGGTGCAGGGCGCGGAAGCGCGCGGAGTTCGGGTCGAAGCCTTTGCCGCCGTTGGGGCCGAGGGGCAACCTCAAGACGGGGACCGGGGTCGCCATGGGGACCGGGGTCCTCCCTGGTGGTAGCACGGAAGGGGGGGGGGGGGAGATTTCGCGTTGTGATCCAGGCGAGTGCAGCGGTCAAGTGCTGCGGCCCCTGGCTACCCGAGTTCGATTCCCTGCTCACGCCCACCAAGGCCAGCGACGATTGTCTGAACACAGCAGAGGTTCGCAAAACGGGTTTTGATTCCTTACCCGTACCCGGCCGCACCAGGGTCGCAAACATGTACCCGTACCCGGCCGGGTAGGGTACGAGTATCGGGTATCCGATTGCGACCTCTGGGATGAAGCCATATTGCAGGCGCGGGTGGGTTGATTCTAGGAACTTGAATTATGAGAAGAGACAAGACGTTGGGAAATGAGTGACAGTTACTCACCAGTGACTCACGGCCTACCCGTACCCGGCCGCACCAGGGTCGCAAACGGGTAGCCGGGTATCGGGTAGGGTATCGGGTACCCGGTTGCGACCTCTGGAACAGTCCCTGGGACTTCCTCCCCTAGGTCGACTCTGCCTAATTGAGTTGTGCTGGTAGCCCTGGTGCGGTGAACATCGCCACGAGGAAACAAAGTTGGACGGGCGTGGTGCTGGCTACCCACAACCTCGTGCGCTGTAGGACTTAATTGTTAAATCTCGATTTAAAGCTTTCGTGACTGCAGGGATTCATCTTCTTGGTTCTTTCGGTAAAGTCACGTAGAATGGAAATAATAAAATAATACAAATTAAACATAATAAAATAATTCTCACGTTTCGGCCACAACGCAAGCAGCCGTCAGGTGAAGAACAGCCGAAACGTCGTGAGAATTTTTTATTATGTTTTATTTGTATTATTTTATTATTTCCCTTCTACGTGACTTTACCGAAAGAACCAAGAAGAATTAATAGTTGCTGCTTGCTGGCAGCACTTGCTCCAGCAGTCTCACACACGGGGGGGGGTGGGGGGGATCTTTGTCTTTCGTTATCATTGTTGTTTTTGGACGAGTTTGCCGGGGAAGGCGAGTTTTTCCTCATCCCATCAGCCCCGCGGCAGCATTCCTTCTGGGGCAGTGCACAATATTATACTGGTAGGAACCTCCTGGTACACCAGCCCACAGGGGATTATTGTGTCTGTCGTGCAGGGAGGGGCTGGGTGGGGAGGGTGGGGAGGGGCTGGGTGGGGAGGGTGTGGAGGGGCTGGGTGGGGGAGGGTGGGGAGGGCTGGGTAGGGAGGGTGGGGCTGGGTGGGGGGTGGGAGGGTGTGGAGGGGCTGGGTGGGGAGGGGCTGGGTGAGGGGTGGGGCTGGGTGGGGGGTGGGGCGGGGTGGGGCTGGGTGGGGGGTGGGAGGGGTGGGGCTGGGTGGGGTGGGGCTGGGTGGGGAGGGGCTGGTCACCCCGTGGTGCCCTTATAAAACTCAACGTTTAACCTACTCACGCCGGGCATATTTGCGGAATACACCACGCCGCCGTTGACCCTGCAGGCCATTGACCGAGCAACCCGACGTTCCTACCAGCTCCCTCCGCAGGACAATGTGTTCACCAGCATCGCACATAAACCGGACTGGTTTCGACATTAGTTGTCTTCATCAGCACCATGAACACACAACAAACAGGGGCCCTTCCGTTACTCCACTGCTAGACGCCGTTGCGGGTCGATTGACCATACTTCACCACGCTGGTCAGTGCCGGTTGGCGCGTACAAGTCGCCGTTTAAATTTCGATTTAAAGCTTTCGCGACTGCAGGGATTCGTCTTCTTGGTTCTTTCGGTAAAGTCACGTAGAAGGGAAGTAATACAAATAAAATAATAAAACATAATAACATAATTCTCACGACGTTTCGGCCACAACGCAAGCAGCCGTCCTCAGGTGAAGAGGACGGCTGCTTGCGTTGTGGCCGAAACGTCGTGAGAATTATTTCATTATGTTTAATATTTTTATATTTTATAATTTTTATTTTTACTATTTTATTATGTTTTATTTTTATTATTTTATTATGTTTTATTTTTATTGTTCTATTACTTCCCTTCTACGTGACTTTACCGAAAGAACCAAGAAGAAGTCGCTGTTTGTACCGAAGGCCGAGCCTTGGGCCTAGCCGCTCCGTCAACGACACGCACTGACCAGCGCGGTGAAGTATGGTCAAGCGCCCTGCCTGCCCCCTGCACACTCACCGCTCGCTCGCTGGGACTCGCACTGCCTGCCCCCTGCACACTCACCGCTCGCTCGCTGGGACTCGCCCTGCCTGCCCCCTGCACACTCACCGCTCGCTCGCTGGGACTCGCCCTGCCTGCCCCCTGCACACTCACCACTCGCTCGCTGGGACTCGCACTGCCTGCCCCCTGCACACTCACCGCTCGCTCGCTGGGACTCGCCCTGCCTGCCCCCTGCACACTCACCGCTCGCTCGCTCGCTGGGACTCGCCCTGCCTGCCCCCTGCACACTCACCGCTCGCTCGCTCGCTGGGACTCGCCCTGCCTGCCCCCTGCACACTCACCGCTCGCTCGCTGGGACTCGCACTGCCTGCCCCCTGCACACTCACCGCTCGCTCGCTGGGACTCGCACTGCCTGCCCCCTGCACACTCACCGCTCGCTCGCTGGGACTCGCCCTGCCTGCCCCCTGCACACTCACCGCTCGCTCGCTCGCTGGGACTCGCCCTGCCTGCCCCCTGCACACTCACCACTCGCTCGCTGGGACTCGCACTGCCTGCCCCCTGCACACTCACCGCTCGCTCGCTGGGACTCGCCCTGCCTGCCCCCTGCACACTCACCGCTCGCTCGCTCGCTGGGACTCGCCCTGCCTGCCCCCCGCACACTCCCCGCTCGCTCGCTCGCTGGGACTCGCCCTGCCTGCCCCCTGCACACTCACCGCTCGCTCGCTGGGACTCGCACTGCCTGCCCCCTGCACACTCACCGCTCGCTCGCTGGGACTCGCCCTGCCTGCCCCCTGCACACTCACCGCTCGCTCGCTCGCTGGACTCGCCCTGCCTGCCCCCTGCCACACTCACCACTCGCTCGCTCGCTGGGACTCGCACTGCCTGCCCCCTGCACACTCACCGCTCGCTCGCTCGCTGGGACTCGCCCTGCCTGCCCCCTGCACACTCACCGCTCGCTCGCTCGCTGGGACTCGCACTGCCTGCCCCCTGCACACTCACCGCTCGCTCGCCTGGGACTCGCCACTGCCTGCCCCCTGCACACTCAACGCTCGCCTCGCTGGGACTCGCCCTGCCTGCCCCTGCACACTCACCGCTTCGCTCGCTGGGACTCGCCCTGCCTGCCCCCTGCACACTCACCACTCGCTCGCTGGACTCGCCCCTGCCTGCCCCCTGCACACTCACCACTCGCTCGCTGGGACTCGCCCTGCCTGCCCCCTGCACAACTCACCACTCGCCTCGCTGGAACTCGCCCTGCCCTGCCCCTGCACACTCACCACCTCGATCGCTGGGACTCGCCCTGCCTGCCCCGGCCACAACTCACCGCTCGCTCGCTGGGACTCGCCCTGCCTGCCCCCTGCAAACTCACCACTCGCTCGCTGGGACTCGCCCTGCCTGCCCCCTGCACACTCACCGCTCGCTAGCTGGGACTCGCCCTGCCTGCCCCTGCACACTCACCCACTTCCCCATCGCTCGCTCGGGACTCGCCCTCCTGCCTGACCCCCCTGCACACCTACCAATCGCTCGCTGGGACTCGCCCATGCCTGCCCCTGCACACTCACCACTCGCTCGCTGGGACTCGCCCTGCCTGCCCCCTGCACACTCACCACTCGCTCGCTGGGACTCGCCCTGCCTGCCCCCTGCACACTCACCGCTCGCTCGCTGGGACTCGCCCTGCCTGCCCCCTGCACACTCACCACTCAGCTCGCTGGACTCGCCCTGCTGCCCCCTGCACACTCACCACTCGCTCGCTGGGACTCGCCCTGCCTTGCCCCCTGCACACTCACCACTCCGCTCGCTGGGACTCGCACTGCCCTGCCCCCCTGCACACTCACCACTCGCTCGCTGGGACTCGCCCCTGCCTGCCCCCTGCACACTCACCGCTCGCTCGCTGGGACTCGCCCTGCCTGCCCCCCTGCACACTCACCGCTCGCTCGCTCGCTCGCTCGCGGGACTCGCCCTGCCTGCCCCCCGCACACTCACCACTCGCTCGCTGGGACTCGCACTGCCTGCCCCCTGCACACTCACCGCTCGCTCGCTGGGACTCGCCCTGCCTGCCCCCTGCACACTCACGCGCTCGCTGGGACTCGCCCTGCCTGCCCCCTGCACACTCACCGCTCGCTCGCTGGGACTCGCCCTGCCTGCCCCCTGCACACTCACCACTCGCTCGCTGGGACTCGCACTGCCTGCCCCCTGCACACTCACCACTCGCTCGCTGGGACTCGCACTGCCTGCCCCCTGCACACTCACCGCTCGCTCGCTGGGACTCGCCCTGCCTGCCCCCTGCACACTCACCACTCGCTCGCTGGGACTCGCCCTGCCTGCCCCCTGCACACTCACCGCTCGCTCGCTGGGACTCGCCCTGCCTGCCCCCTGCACACTCACCGCTCGCTCGCTGGGACTCGCCCTGCCTGCCCCCTGCACACTCACCACTCGCTCGCTCGCTGGGACTCGCACTGCCGCGGGAAAGAGGCCCTCGTCCAGCGGGGGATAGAGGAGGCCGGGGGGAGGGGGTCTCCTCGCCGCCTTCCGCCGCGACTCCCGCGTGCTGAGACCCCACGTGGGCGGAGGAGTCATCACGTGGGAGGAGGAGTCATCACGTGGGAGGAGGAGTCATCACGTGGGAGGAGGGGTCACCACGTGGAGGAGGGGTCACACCGTGGGAGGAGGAGTCACCACGTGGAGGGGTTCTGTGGGGAGCGTGGCGCAGGCGGTTAGCGCGCTGCGGTTCGACCCCTGCACACAGAGCAGAGTTCCAATTATCCCTCGCGGCCACTAACATCCCGTTGACGATTACTACCTGGTGCGCTCCTTTTAATTTTACACGTAAGGGCCGTCCCTAAATGACGTCACGCGATTGTTTGACGATTTTTGACCCCCCCCTCGTCACCGGCGTCACAAAGCTCTGCCCCCCCCCCAAAAAAAAAACATGATTCAAATCGCTTTAAACTGTGTCATTGTAGTGCGTATTTAATGTGGCGCTGCACTCTGATGTTGTAGGAGAAACATTTATAAAAAATTAACCCGTAAAAACAAAGTTTTCACTATAAATCCTTTATATGCGTGGCACGGGGCGGCGAGCGTCCTCTCGTCCTCTGGCTGAGATGGCTGCCACCTATGGGTCAGATGATTGTCTGGAAGCATTAAACAATTGGTAATTAAATATTTTTTTTTCCTAAACAGTGTAAAATTTTGGAAAAAAGTTTTCACGAAATGCATTGTCACGCACAACGAGTCTGTGTGCAAAAGTCAGCTCGATTGGATCACGGGAAGTGGGTTAAAAACGACCCGAAAGATTTGCACGGTCCTAAGCAAGCAAGCAAGCGAACTTAATATAAAGGATTTAACAAAGCCTATTTAATTAAGTAGAACGTGTTGTCTATATTTATTTTAAAGTGCGATTTTGATGTGACGTCACATCCTCACCCCCTCCCCTGTCAACTATCGTCACAAATGTCGGACCCCCCCCCCTAGGTGCGTGACGTCATTTATGGACGGCCCCCCACTTTGCGCAAGAGCGCAGAAGCGTGGTCACCACATCTACCACGCCTCCATATAAGGAACGAAACAGGTGGACTTCTACACAAATCTGGCTGTCGTCTGATGAAGCTAGTTGTAATTACTGGCGAAACGTCGTACTCAGATTGTAAATGTTGGGCTTGGCTCTCCAACACACAACCAGTTAGTGCGGTACTAGTATACTACACTATACACTACATTGTACACTATACACTACATTATACACTATACACTACACTAGTGCCTGTACTAGTATACTACATTATACACTATACACACTACACCATACACTACTCTACACTACACTATACACACTACACTATACACTAGGACTATACACTACACTATACACTAGTGCTTGTACTAGTATACTACACTTATACACTATACACTACACCATACACTCTACTATACACTACACTATACACACTACACTATACATCTACACTAGTGCTGTACTAGTGACGAATTGGCACGTTCTGTTGACGTGACAACCCTTACTAGTTGGCTGTGTCGGGTGGTGGCGGGTTTTAACGACACATTTATATATTTACGCGATCTAACAAAAAACCCCTCTACTTTTTAATCATCATGTGACGGCAATTGTTTTATGAACCCCGACGGCTATTTTCTTTATTGCTGTACTTTGTTTCCTGTCGTCATTTTGGTGACCCCCCCCCCCCCGGTCACTCTTGAACCTGACCTTTCCGTGCTCTCTCGACTTCTCACCTCGTTACAATGAAATCCGCTTGGAGCTGGCAACTCATCACGGGAGGGGTGGTCTTTTGTTGCGGCTTATACATGGTGCTTCAAAAAAATATAAACACTAACACATTCCTGCGGAGGGAGCTGGTAGGAACGTTGGGTTGCTCGGTCAATGGCCAGGGTCAACGGCGGCGTGGTGTATTCCGCAAATATGCCCGACTGTGAGGGCGGGCACAAGCCGGCGTGAGTAGGTTAAATGTTGAGTTTTATAAGGATCACCACGGGGTGACCAGCCCCTCCCCACCCAGCCCCACCCCTCTCCACCCAGCCCCTCCCCACCCAGCCTCTCCCCACCCTCCCCTCCCATCCCCTCGCTCCCCACCAGCCCGTCCCTGCACGACGGACACAATAATCCCCTGTGGGCTGGTGTAACCAGGAGGTTCCTACCAGTAATATAGGACACACATAGCATTGTTGTAGCTGCTCGCTCGCTGGTTCAGCAGTTCCACTGATGGATTATATTGTTTCCGCCTGAGGACGACCGCTATTGTGTTGTGATCGAAACGTCGTTATTATTTTATTGTCTACCCTACGTGACTTTACCGAAAGAACCAAAGAGTATGGATTCCAGCTTCAAATCAAGACTAATATAGGACTATTTTTAACGGGAACAGAACGGATAATACTACACTGTAACATGATAACAAATGTCAGGTTAATAGCTTCACAAAGTCAAAATTCATCTTCTTTGTTCTTTCGGTAAAGTCACGTAGAAGGGAATAAAAAAAACATAATATTATTATATTATTACGTGTAATTTTTATTTTTTATTATTTCCCTTCTACGTGACTTTACCGAAAGAACCAAGAAGAATACTAATAGGGGTTTTCCCCCTTTTTTCTGGCAACAAAACTGACACCTTTTGCAAGGAATCATGTTTACATTAACCACAATACTTGCAGTCAAATGCAAAAAAACAACACTCTGGTAATTTATGCATTGTCTTTGAAACTGATTGGTCCACACCAGAGACAGCTTTCTTTGGAGCCTCGTCTCATATGGTGTTCGACCAGATGACTGGCAAAAGAGGTCCCATGATGAATCCCTGCAGTCACGAAAGCTTTAAATCGAAAGTCAAAAATCCTCAATTTGTTCGCCATCGTTGCCAACGCGTGCCTGGAATCTTCTTCCCCAGGTTCTCTCCAGAGCCCGGAAGTGGCACATTTATTGTGGTGTTGTTGCAA